TTTGTTTTCTGTGTGTCCTGAAAGTCCCCAAAATCTCAAGTGAAAGCTCCTGATGTTATGCTAATTTCCCACACAGTCCTATCAGGATGGGACACCTTCTGTGGTGAACACCCTCCATTGCGTGTGTGTCCTCCTGGTGTATCCCAATGTTATGCTAATTTCCCACGCAGTCCTATCAGGATCCTGTGGTGAACACCCACCATTGCGTGTGTGTCCTCCTGGTGTATCCCCAGAAAAGGAGGATGGACTCAAGGAATGGTTATTTGTTAATCTGCATGATTTTATCATTCTTTATCTTTGCTTAAACTTGACCTTTGCACAGGCTGCCTTCTAACAGCTCCCGATCTGCTGGAGGAGATGATAATTCCTCTGGTTATTAACTGCCTGACCTCCACAGACATTGCTTTATCAGCTATGGAAATATATTCATCATATAAAATTTAAAAAACCCCAACAAACCCCTAAACCAACACCATAGCTCAGATTTTCAGGGCATTCTAGAAGCTTTTGCCACCCATTTTATGTTACTTTAAAGGAAAACCTGTTGCAATCCAGTAGCTGTTACTGGGGAGCTGAACCTAAAGGATCTTTCTACCTGTGACGAGAAGAACAGCCCAAACTAATTGGAAAGTCTGATGTTTTGCTTCTTCTGCCTGAGCTTGGAGCCACCTGCTCTGGTGGGAGATGTCCCTGCCCAGGGCAGGGGGTTGAAACTGGATGAGCTTTTTACCTGCGACGAGAAGAACAGTCCAAACTAATTGGAAAGTCTGATGTTTCGCTTCTTCTGCCTGAGCTTGGAGCCCTTAGACTGGTTTGAAGCCACCTGGTCTGGTGGGAGGTGTCCCTGCTTCCTCGCATGGTGCCTCCTCCTGGACTGTCTCCATCATCCTCACAGAGACAGTTCTTTCCATCAAAGAGTTGCATCTCTTGGTTTGGGGTGACCAATATGGCAAAAGAAGCAGAAGAGAGAGCCACAGGCGTGTCTAAATTCTATTGTCCCTTCCACGCTGGAGGAGCCATCTGTGGCATCAGTTCTGCTGCGAGGGTCTCCATCATCCTCACAGACACAGTTCTTTCCCTTGAAGAGTTGTATCTCTCCTTTGAGGTGACCAATATGGCAAAAGAAGCAGAAGAGAGAGCCCCAGGCGTGTCTAAATTCTGTTGCCCAAACCAGCACGTAGAGGTGATGCCCAGCTCTTCTGGCTCTTGCAGGAGATGTTTTTCTCAGCTCATGTTCTCCGGATCTGCTGCCGACGGCGGCTCCAGCCGTAGGGACTCAGGTCGGTGCCCTGCCTGCCATGGAGCACTCTCAAAGCAGTGGAAATAGGTGAGCTCAGCAGAAGCCTGGTCACATCCTCACAGCAAATGAGAAGTCATCAGCTACGGAGTCCACCTCATTGGAATTCTTCAGGTACAGATGTAAAGGATTCTGGTGCTCTTGGTTTATTACAATGAATTTTAAGTCATTAGACTCAAGGCAAACTTCAGTGTGGGCAGCGTGTGCTTAACGTGATATAATGAGCTCCCCCCTTTCTGTCTGGGAGTATCTATTGATATTTCACTGGGGAAGGTGCTGGGCTGACAGAGACAGAGCTTCCACCACCAGAGCCCTGGAAGCAGCTCCGTAGCTGTTGTCTTCTTGTCTTTTGGGTGTCTATTTTTGTCAGTTAGGTTGACGGTTGGACAAGATGATCTTAAAGGTCCCTTCCAACCTAGAAGATTCTGTGATTCTGTGATTCACGCAGCTCCACCAGCCAGACTTGGACCTGCCCGACTCTCAGCCTTGCTCAAAACTACCAAAAATGTTGCCTGTTAATGATAGCTTCAATTTTTTAAAGAGCGTTTGTGACCCTCAGGAATCGGGATGGGACTTAGAAATTGCTCCATCGAAGGACTCAGTCGGCTGGGGCTGTATTTGAGCCAGTAAAATGGGGAAAAAAACGATCCTGTTGCCAATCCCATGAAAATAAATTCAGAGCCGTTGCCCAGGGCCTGTGTCTTCCCCAATTCTGTAGCAGAACAAAGGGGATTTAAAGGGCATTTCTGGGTTTCTGTGGCAAAAAGGAATCCCCTGCCAGGATAAAGCTGGAACCTTCTGCCACCTGATCCTTCTTCCTTTCTCCCCACGTCAGGGATGTTCTGGGATGTATCCAGGGCAGGGACGTGGCCACATTAGAGTGTTCTCTGAGGATCCTGAGCCAGGAGCAGAGTCCTCGGGGGTGATCCCAGCTGGCACACGGCGATGACCATTTGGCTGCTTTAACTGGCCATCGGGGTGGTCCAGCCTCGGGCTCAGGCCCGGGATGAGAGGAGGTGGCTCCCAGCCATGTTTGCCTCCTCCTTGTCCTCGGGGCTCTGGAGATCTACACAGAAGCTCCTCAAAGTAGCATTTGGTTGGTCTCACGATTTCCAGGATGAAACTCACCCAGCTAAAAGCTTTTTCCCCTTTTTCCTGAGTTGTAGCCCCTTCCCTGGGCAGCAAAGAGGCCGGAGCCACCCCCTGGTGCCAGGATCCTGGAGCTGTGTCCTCCCCCAGCAGCGACTGGGAACAGGCCAGTGGGATTGGCACACTGGGGTTTGAAATGCATCACACAAGTAATGAGTGGGTCTCTTCTCTACATTGGAAATTAAAACAGCCTCACTTTGCACGTACTTTAATTTTAGTTGCTGACAACATGGGATTTGCTGAGTGACTCCTGCAAAGTGTGTGTGTCATCCCATGCTTGGTATGGTTTGTTGGCATCTCTACCAGGGGGTAACAAATTTATCTTGTGCTGGTGGCTGCTCACATTTGACCAGGCTGTGGTTTTAATGCTTTATCTGCTCTTAAATGCTCAACCCCTTCTCTGCTCGTTGCCAGAGCCACAGCCCTTGGGCTTACCCGGATGCACTATGGCCACGGTGACTTCTTTACTTAAATCCTGTGGGTTTTTTCCATCTCTGCCCTTTACAAAGCTTCCAGCTGGTGCTGGTGTGGGCTCTGAGGGCAGATCAGCCACAGATGCAACGTCAGGGTCTGGATGAAGAGCGACCAGTTGGCTTTGGCCGAGCTAAAAACAATCCCAACATTTCCAGCAGCCCCTCCTGTAGCCCGGCCACCTCTTCCAGGGGCAAAACTTAATTTGAGAATCTAAAATCTAACTCAACAAGGTTCCAGACACATGGGCTGTTACTGCTTTGTTGGTAATATTTATGGTAATTAATGTAGGGCTTCTACAGTATGTACAGTTTATAATTGCTGCTCAGCTCATTGGAAAGGTTAGCGCCTACTGGAAAAGTACAAATCGATAGGCAAGTTCCTCCCTGTCTTGCAGAAGTGATGATAAAGAATAAATTATTGAAGAAAATTAAGCATTATAATTGGGGAATATTCCCTATTACTAAGTAAAGCCAGCCATTAGCATCCGATTTGCATTTTATACCATGCAGCAGGAAATATTTAAGTTGACAAATAGGATATTTAATACAGCAACAGATACTTGGCAGTTAGATATTAACAACTGTTACTGATGTGATTTATTCGCTATTATAAAAAGGGCATTACTATGTGCATACGATTCAGAAATTAACTCCAGTTTACCAAGAGGCCCTGACTGCCTGACCTCTTAATATCCTTATAATGATGCCATTTACCATTCAAAGGCTTAGTCAAGTCAGTCGCCGCTGGATTTGTTTTAACGGGGTCCACTGTCACAGAATCACAGAATCACAGAATCTTCTAGGTTGGAAGAGACCTTAAAGATCATCTTGTCCAACTGTCAACCTGACTGACAAAAATAGACACCCACACAACAAACAAGGAGCATCATCACTAAACCAGACCTCCCAGCACTACATCAACCCGTCTTTTGAACACCTCCAGGGATGGTGCCTCAACCACCTCCCTGGGCAGCCCATTCCAATGGCTGAGAACCCTTTCAGTGAAAAAATTTTTCCTAATATCCAGCCTGAACCTCCCCTGGCGCAACTTGAGGCCATTTCCTCTTGTCCTGTCGCCTGCATTCCAATGGCTGAGAACCCTTTCAGTGAAAAAATTTTTCCTAATATCCAGCCTGAACCTCCCCTGGAGTAACTTGAGGCCATTTCCTCTCGTCCTGTCGCCTGTGACTTGAGAAAAGAGACTGCCTGTCGGGCAGATACTGGTGTGCCTTACCATTTCTCATTGGTGTTGGAGGCACAAGCATTTTTTAAGAGGGAAAAACTGAGGGGTAAAGGCACACTCGGGTTGGTGGAGGAGGAGGAGCCTGGTAGAAGGGATCCACGGTGCTGCCCTCGGCGTGGACCAGCCTCAGAAATCCTGCCTGGCTTGTCCGTGCTTTAGTGCTCTGAAATCCTCATGGGGTTGATGCCAGGCTTTTGTCATTGTGGGCGAGTATGTCCTGCAGGGGGGTGAGGTGGAGGGGGCTTCCACTGGCAGCCCCACGATCTTACGGTCTCATTTCTTGTGTAATTGAGTATAAATCCCAATTAGCACCACAAACCAGCGGTGAGTGGGAGCGGTGACCCACTCATCACCTTCCACGCCGCTTCCACGCTTCCCTAATCCCACTCAGTTTAGCTTTGCCCTCTGGAACTCGCCTTTTTTCCATCTCAAAATACCTCTCTGGAGCTGAAGGCTGACTTTATTTAACGCTAATTATTCTTCAGCTGAAAAATCCAGGTGTGATCTTTAGTGTTTCGATAATTACCTATTTAATGTGATACAGGCTTTACCGCTGCGGAGCTCATCCATCTGCTTTTTCTAATCGTTGCTAAAATCACAGGTCACTGGTTTGTCCTCAGCCTTTTGGTTTTCTCTGAAAAGTTACTTTTGGAGTCACACAGGAGTTCTGATTGTTCCTGTTCCATCCCTGCCCAGGAGGCACCAGCACAAGGAAACCAACACGCATGAAAATCAAGGCATAGACGTTCCTTTACGCAACTGCTGAGTTTCACTCTTCTTCTTCTCTGTATTTTTCTTTTATTTTTGATTTTAATGCACCTGTTTGTCTGTTGATCAGGTGTGGGCAACAGACCTGGACCTTTGCTACAGTGACCAGCTGGCCTTGACCCAGCTCGTGTTGTACGTGACAGATGGAAACGTGGATTGTGGCTCCGGCTGCTTCGAAGTCTCTCTTCCTTCAAAGAAAATGAGAAGCCACCACAGTCAGCACGAGGAGACAAAACCCGTAAGCAGCTACTTCTTTACAAAGAAAATTATTTATGGGAATTACCAAAAAGTCAAAAATCTCTCCTGGATCACTGTTGTAGAGGAGCTGAATCCGCTCCTTTCAGATTCTAAACTGCCACTTTCAGATTGTAGAAGGTTAATAAAGTCAAGGGGATGCCATCACGTTAGAAATTAACAGAAAGGTTCTGGGTGCTTCTGGGCACCTGATTATTCATCCTTCATACTCACTACTATTGATTTGTGGTAGTAACTAACTTCTAAATATTTTAGGTAGTTTTCAAGTTGTAAAAATTGTGGTAATTTGGAAGCTGTGAGAAAAAGGAAGGAGGTGAAAGCACTCCCTGGCCATAGGAGTAACTTAAGAACAGTCAAGAAGAAATCTGAGCCTTCAGCTCGTGAGCCCTGATCTGGGTTGAAAAGTTGGAGCCCTGAGGTTCCACCCCAGCTTTGTGCCCTCGCAGAGCCCAGGGCTGGAGGTTTGGGTGCATCCTGTGGATCTCACCTTCCATCTCTCGGAAAGGTCATTAAGGTTGTCCCCATAATAGTGGGATTTTAGATAAGGTGCTATTTGTGTATCGCTTTGGGATCCTCATCAACACACTGCCACGGGAGCACAGTTAACACATCACCACTTATTATGCTGATTGGTTACATCAGATCAATCTCGTATTCCATTCGGCTCTGAACCTTGAGACTGTCCCTCAAAAAAGGGTAGAAAGGCCTTTAAAAAAGTCAGAGGATAAGAAATGTAGGTATCAGTGTACACATATATACACAGACAGGTAGGAACCCGATGCCATTTTACACGTTTTGACAGAAAATGCACAACTCCCTTTATTTCATGCGCAGAGGAGGAAGGGAGCACCATTCCAAAAATGTCAGGGAGCTGTAATTTAGAGGTTAATGAGCTCTTGATCTATTGTTCTTGTCAAGCAACCACTTTTAGTTGGAGAGAAGTAAATTAGATATGATTAGTCCCAGTAGTACAAGTTTTAGAAATGAAAAGTAATCAAGTAGCAACTTTTTTTTAATTAAAATTCTGTCAGAATTAACATAAATTGTCACTATATCTTATATTTTTCTTTTTTGTTTCTGAGGGTTTTATCTCCTTAAGAGTTAACTACAAAAATGTGCTCTCTCAGGCGAATATCTTTAGAAAAAGAAACAAACAAATCAAGAGACAAATGCTTTTCCAGCATATGATCTGTAATAAATGATTAAGTAAAACACTTTGTGTAAAATTATGATGTTAATAATGATTCTGTCCCTTTTAATTTATTATATATTCTCAATCGTGGTAGGTTTGATTTTGATAAAACGGAGCAGCAACTGAGTTTGTGTGATGATTTTATTTTTAGAAATCCTTCTTTGAAAGAACAAATTTCCTAGATACTGCTGCTACTGTAATTATGTACAAAACCAATCACTCATTATAGTTAGGATACATTATCTTCTAGACAGATGAGGCTAAATAAGCAACACATTAATAATTCATCCCGCAGTTCATTATGCATGTGTATGCATGCTTTGTAGCTGAAATAAGCACCTCATCAACCTGATGCCAACCCTTAAACAATAGTTCTGTGTTATTGCAGCCACATTCAAGTTTACGCTTGTTAAACTGCTACTTGGATTATTTTATCAAGCATTCATTTATTTGTGGTCCCCCACTGCAGAGAACAGATTTTGGAAGCTCCTTTTTTAAGTTAATGACTTGAGCAACGGGTGTTATTAATTCTCAGAATATTATAAACATGATTAATTTTCAGGCAGAGATGTATTATATAAGGATTTCAACTATGTCAACTTAAATGAGTCAACGTCAAAACAAATATCATTTTAGAAAAAAAAAAAAATACTGTAAATTACACGCTTCGATGTGCAGCGTCGCCACTCGGAACGAACGGTCCGGTGTTAAAAAGAACATCCCAGGAAAGCTTGGCTTTAGGAACCATCTCTATCCAGGTCTGTGCAATGCACCATCTCTGTTCTTTAAACTCTTTAAACTCCAAGGCTGTGCTGGTTTTCACCCACACTATGAACTCACTGGTACCGGTGGGGCCGCTCCTCGGAGTCACGGGGCCTTGTCTCCTCAAGGACTTGCTGGAAAAATGATGCTCCCTAATGCCCCAGCAGAATGTTGTCTTGGAAGAACCCACTGGAAGTTTAGCTTTAGAAGATCTGGTTTAAAACATTTCTATTCTCTGGCAAAAACTACTGCTGAGGCACTTCGGAATTTCTGCTGTTGAGAAGGGCTGACTCCAGAACGTGTGTCACCACGGGGTGGGATGGGCTCAGAGGATCCCCCGAGAATGAGTTCACAGGGCTGGGGGCCCCATGGGGCTGTGAAAATCCCAAAACAAGGGATTCTGTAGCTCTGATCTGCAATATGAGCTTTTAGGTACAGGGTGAGGCGAGGATTTCGTTTTGCTGCATGAAAACGTCTGTGTTCAACAGAGATTGTGATAAAGAGGAATTCCTCCAAGTGGAGTCTGATCCCACACTGAGATGAGTTCACTGTGAAAAGGCCATTTATACAGTAAATTGGTGGTTTTGGGTATAAACTGGTATGAAAATGAAAAATGTGATGTTGTTTTCTCCAGCCCTCTGCGGTAAGGCAGCGGTGCGCGGTGGCCAGCAGCCAGCTGAGGCACTCCAGCCTCTCCAGGATCTCCTACAACCTTCTCCTCCAGATGTGCAGAGCTCAGGGGGTTGGATTTGACCTCCAGGTACGAAGGGGAAAGATCAGAAAATGCGATTTTCACTCTGCATAATTTTTCTACGTAAACTCTAATACGGTGAGACCACTCAGCACAAGGTACAGTTTAAGCACCCTGTTTAGCATAACGCACGAGACACAACAGCACTGAAAGCTCAGGGGGTTGGATTCGACCTCCAGGTACGAAGGGGAAAGATTAGAAAATGCCATTTTCACTCTGCATAATTTTTCTGTGTAAACTCTAATATGGTGAGACCCCTTAGCACAAGGTACAGTTTAAGTGCTCTGTGTAGCATAACGCACGAGACACAACAGCACTGAGGGACTGCAGCTCCCTGGGCTTCACGGGGAAATGCAGAGCTCCCTGTGTTTCCAGTATAAACCCTCCTCGGGTGCAGAGGTTAATGCCAGTTCATGTCCCGTGTGCAGCTGAGGTGAGCATCAACTCGAAGGACACGAAAACCTAGGCATATTTTCACTATCTTTCACTTTGTTTAAGGTTTTTAGGAGTTAATCTGTCTCTTGCTAAAAATAAAACTGTGATAATTTAAGTACTTATGGCCATTTCTTCCTATTTCAGGAAAAAAATATTTCCTATAGACTAGACTCTGCTGTGTTCTGTTTACAAAAAGTGACTGCATTGCATTCTCTACAATAAACTAGAGCAATAATCCACTCCCACTGACCCGTTACACACCACTCAAACCCCTTTCTTAGACATGGCTATGTACTTACGCTCCGTGTTTAATACTTTTATTATAACTATAATTAGTTTAGGAATAATTAAAGCAACTTTGTCTTTTTATTTCACAGGAAAAGCAGGGAACAGTTTTCATATTGTACGAAGACCAGAAGCGCTACAGGTTGGGAATGGTGTAAGTATGTGCTGGCAGCACCACGGGCTGGTGAGCACCCGGGGACAGCGGGTGACACGGCAGCGGGTGACATGGCAGCGGGTGACACCACAGTGTGTGCTGGCTGGGGCAGGAGGGGAACAACCCCACCACCACACACTCAGCTTCACCCACTGTCACCTGCTGCTCAGAAAAGCATAATGACGTGTGGCAAGATTGGCCTTTGGAAAAGTTTTAGGCAGGCTTTAAGCATGTTAGTAATAAATGATTGTCCCCCTGCTGGCCATTTCTTCCTATTTCAGGAAAAAAATATTTCCTATAGACTAGACTCTGCTGTGTTCTGTTTACAAAAAGTGACTGCATTGCATTCTCTACAATAAACTAGAGCAATAATCCACTCCCACTGACCCGTTACACACCACTCAAACCCCTTTCTTAGACATGGCTATGTACTTACGCTCCGTGTTTAATACTTTTATTATAACTATAATTAGTTTAGGAATAATTAAAGCAACTTTGTCTTTTTATTTCACAGGAAAAGCAGGGAACAGTTTTCATATTGTACGAAGACCAGAAGCGCTACAGGTTGGGAATGGTGTAAGTATGTGCTGGCAGCACCACGGGCTGGTGAGCACCCGGGGACAGCGGGTGACACGGCAGCGGGTGACATGGCAGCGGGTGACACCACAGTGTGTGCTGGCTGGGGCAGGAGGGGAACAACCCCACCACCACACACTCAGCTTCACCCACTGTCACCTGCTGCTCAGAAAAGCGTCATGACTTGTGGCAAGATTGGCCTTTGGAAGAGTTTTAGGCAGGCTTTAAGCATGTTAGTAATAAAAAGAGCCCAGGAATCTGCTCAGATCAAAGGCTGAGGACCGAGTGCAATTAGCTTGACAAGAGGCAGAATCAGTGCCAGCAGCTGTGAGAGCACAGGGATTAGCACAGCCTTACTTTTACAGGCAACATTATTAAAAACCTGGCTATACAGGATGCAAAGAAGGCTGAAATTTAATGCCTTTTTATACTGTTCTTCCCAAAGGGATCAATGGCAACAATGGTCAGGCAACAGCAGATCTCACAGTTCAGTCATTCTTCAGACACACAACCCTCGCCCAAGAAGTCTAAGAAAGCACAATCTGCACAAATCTACTGTGCACTGATTGAAAGCCCCTCCTCACAGAGAATTTAGGTAAAACTTACTGCCAAAATAGGATGTAATGAGTGAGGGGCTGAAATGGCCTGTTCTCGGTCTGTTCTGTTACCCCTTTGATGCTGGAGCCATTTCATTAATGACCTGGATAAGAAAACAGCTTCCTCAGGTGCTGGATGTGACTGCAGGTATTTTGGAGGGCAGGAATGGAATTCAAAATGGTCCAGGAATCTGCTCAGATCAAAGGCTGAGGACCGAGTGCAATTAGCTTGACAAGAGGCAGAATCAGTGCCAGCAGCTGTGAGAGCACAGGGATTAGCACAGCCTTACTTTTACAGGCAACATTATTAAAAACCTGGCTATACAGGATGCAAAGAAGGCTGAAATTTAATGCCTTTTTATACTGTTCTTCCCAAAGGGATCAATGGCAACAATGGTCAGGCAACAGCAGATCTCACAGTTCAGTCATTCTTCAGACACACAACCCTCGCCCAAGAAGTCTAAGAAAGCACAATCTGCACAAATCTACTGTGCACTGATTGAAAGCCCCTCCTCACAGAGAATTTAGGTAAAACTTACTGCCAAAATAGGATGTAAGACAGGCAACATTATTAAAAACCTGACTATTCAGGATGCAAAGAAGGCTGAAGTTTAATGCCTTTTTATACTGTTCTTCCCAAAGGGATCAATGGCAACAATGGTCAGGCAACAGCAGATCTCACAGTTCAGTCATTCTTCAGACACAGGACCCTCGCCCAAGAAGTCTAAGAAAGCCCAATCTGCACAAATCTACTGTGCACTGATTGAAAGCCCCTCCTCACAGAGAATTTAGGTAAAACTTACTGCCAAAATAGGATGTAATGAGTGAGGGGCTGAAATGGCCTGTTCTCGGTCTGTTCTGTTACCCCTTTGATGCTGGAGCCATTTCATGAATGACCTGGATAAGAAAACAGCTTCCTCAGGTGCTGGATGTGACTGCAGGTATTTTGGAGGGCAGGAATGGAATTCAAAATGATCTCAACAAACCGATGAAACAATATGAAAAATAGAATTACATTCAGTTGGAACCAGGTGCAAGAAATGACACTCTGATAGCAGTAATGAATACGAGGAACAAGGAGCTTTGCAGAAAAGGGTCTGTGAGTTAACGCTGGTTCACAAACTGCCGGTTGGGATCTTATGGAAAAAGGTAAATGCTATAACCTGGGAGAATGGGAAGTCATCCTGCCCTCTGCGCTGAGGCAGGCACTGAAAACAGAGTTCTACAAGGCACGACTTGCAAGAGGGGCAGGGGGAGAAGGCAGAAGTGGGATCTGTTGACAATCCTTAAGCACATAAAAAGCCTCTGCAGGAAGGAAAAATCTGATTTCCGTATCTTTAGTAGTAGGACAAGAGGAAATGAACTGAACTGGCAGCAAGAAAGACTCATGTTTAGCATAAGAAAAATTTCAGATGAAGTGGAGCACTAATTAGATTGTTGGGTGCAGTTGTCACTGACAGTGTTTAGTAACAGAGTGGACAATCCCCTGTCAGGTTTGATCCTGCCCCAGCACAGGGACGGGCTAAATGAAGCACAGGGATTGTTCCTGGGGCTGTGAGTCTTTCAGCCCGTTCTGGGCTCCTGTGGCCGCGCACGAGGAGTCGGATTTGGGGAAAGCTGTTACTCCTACACTGTACTGCCCTCACCCGTGATTGAGCTGTGAGATAAATCTGAAAGAAAATCACTTAACAAAAGTCTGTAAAATATCTACGGGAGCCATTTAGACAGTGATTTAGGCACCTGAAAGTGTTCCATAAGCCAGCAGAATCTCCTAAGAGCCCAGTGATGCTGAAAGGTGAGCCCTTTCCCTCCCTGACCCCAGCTATGAAATCCTCCTCCCTCCTGACCCCACTCGTGCAGGGTCTCTGGTACTTTTACACCTCTCCAGGAGCTGATTCAGCTCAGTAACTCAGCAGAAAAGCTTTCTTTTATTGGATTGGGTTTCTGTGAGGCTGAGACTCAGCCCGTAGAGGGGCATATAGTGGGCAGGAGAGCTCTGCCAGATAGATGGGGAGGAGCCCAGGGAGGAGAAGGACCTGCCCTTTTCAGGGTCAGTGACCTGTTGGATGGGCTGGTCCCTGTTGGGGTCATTTCACTTCGTTACCCACGTACCTTGGAAACAGAGTCCTTATATTAGAGACACTGGATCCTGCCTGCAGTGTTCCTAACTCCTCTGGAGTGATACATCAGCTCCACTGGTAAGGAATGTGACCCCCTGGATCACCAGCTTGAATTGGCAGTTATTAATATATTACCAGAATACCCTCAAAGGTATTTGCTACACATTCTGATCCCAGGTGTGTCCTCCATCAGATTTTTAATGCCATTTCATTATCTTAACTTGGAAATATTTTCAAGAGTATAACAGTTTGGCTTATAAAAGCACTGAAATACCTGAAACATCTATGTCAATTATCATCCATTTTACTACACTGGAGATCTACTGTCCATTCCAGTCAGTAAGTGAGGTACATTTACTGTACCTCATATCCTGTAGATTACCAGTCAGTAAATGAGGTACATTTACTGTACCTCATATCCTGTTCCATAATATCGTATATTTTGAGCCCGTATGGACCACTGAGAAACCAAAGCCTCAAAGGCTACGATCTGAGAAACACTGACACTGCTGAAATTTCTCTCACAAACTGTAGGCAGAAGCAACAGCTCCTCTGAACTAATCTGGATATTGAGTGTTCTACTGCCTCAGTCCTAACTCAACGGTAGCTGAAACCTCACCGCTTACTTCTGCAAAGTTGATTAATAAAAATTATTTATTACACAAATCCTTCCTGTTGACAAGTTAAAATGGAGCCTCATCTTTCATATCTCCCTGAAGATTGCCACCTTGTGAGATTGAAAATACTCATTAAATTCCATCAGCAGACAGGCACAAATGAGAGGGCGATTGTTTTTAAGCATGCGAAGGGAATCATTGGTAAACTCATTTGTTTGGATATCATTAACAGAACAATCGGAGAGGATCTCCAGGGGGTCCTCATGACCTTTGCTCGCAATCTCTTCATCATCCATCAAGAAATATCAGCACCTAATATGCAAGGCGAGACCAATTTTAAGGTGAGGTGTTAATTAACTAACGATCCTGGGTAATTTCTGTACAAGGGCTGAAAATACCTCATGCTGGATCATAAACAAGTGCTAAACCATTCCTTTTTTATTGTTAGCGGTGTGTATTTTACAGTGTCTAGGTCAATATAGTAAGTCTCCCAACGAACCTGTTAGTTAAATTTAAGTTTGAAACTTTTTTCTTTGAAAAGAGACGTACTTTAGCGTGAAATTATTTTTTTAATGGAATGCTCCTGATTGTCCTTTGTGAGTGCAAAGGAGCTGTTGGCACTGCCTCAGACAGTTCTGTCGCAGTTGTTTGATTTATTTTAAAGGGACACCACCAGGGTAGAAATCTTAAATTAGAAACAAACTTCTCAGTTTGTAATAGCTCCTTAGATTATTAACACGGATTTCTTTCATACAGGCGACCACTGAGTGCTTTTTCCGTTGGTTCACATCAATTTCACAAGTCAATTTAGTTCCCACTTTTCTCTGCCCTTTGGATGTGCCCCCAGTGCCCGTCCCTCGGCGCTGGGGGATGCTCTGGGGGGAGGCAGGACAAAGCACGGGGGCTCCTCTCACCAGGGATGCTCCCCCAGGAGCCTCCACCTTGGCTGGGGGAAGCTCCTTTGCGCTGACCTGGCTGGCTCAAGGAGACAGCAAAGCAATAATGAATCCAACCCCGTGCCCCGCGAGGAGCTCTCCTTACAATGCTGCTTTGATTCCAGACAACAGCTAAACCCTCCCGAGGGAGTTCTTTTGCTAAACTACACCACCTTTAACTTCATCAAAAGTTCTTAAGGTCCCATCTGTAAACCTTTTGTAGAAAGGTGAAGGGGAGCACTGGTACAGGCTGGTATCTTAAATCACTTAACGTAATTTCTATCAAATTCCTTCCTGTGCTAACTCTGCCTGTATTTTCCTCTGACCAGCTGACAGTTTTAGAGAAGATATAATTAAATTTCAACATGTTACAGAATAAACAAACAAACAAACAAGACCCCCCCCTTGGGTTTTTTTTTCAATATGAGGGAATAAAAAGCAACCATTGAAGAAAAATCTGAAAGGGAACTCTTCATAGTGAGTTAACAATGATTTACATATGCAGAACATAACACCTGTTAGTTAATTAGAAGTACAAATTGCAACAAACTGTATTTTTTATTTACCTGAGATTTGGTCCTATTTACTAATAATTCCCCCAACTATCCCCAAAGTAATAGTAAATCCACTGGGAGCATCACGTCCTGTGTAACACTGGTTACCTTTTCCAGGCAAGTGCAGCCAGCTGTGCGTTTTGGCTGCTGGATTTCATTATAATGCCCATTAAATAACTTGTATTCCTCGAATCTCTTACAGATGGCAATTCGAGATATTGAAGCAATTCTAGGAATTACAGCAGAAAACAAACTGAAATTGGAAGAAGAGCAACCTCCGAAAGCAGATGCTCTGAAAGAATAGTTAACGGGAAATGTTTAAATGCCTTATTCTTTATGCTTCTGGAAATGCTTTCTCATCTGTAAGAACAGGTTGGGTTTTCCTTCTGCGTCGGTGTGTGAAGTAATATTAACTGAGATGGCACGTTGCTGTGGGTTCTGAGTTCAGAATGGTTTCATGGTTCAAAATATCCCTTCTTTCACAAAAATAAACTGTTGAAAAGCAGAGGATCGTAACAGTTAAATGCCCCTGGTGTTCACCCTGTCCTTCCTGAAGTGCAGTATCTGTTTTTACATCTCATTAATAGACTACACAGGGATCACACTTTGTCACTAAATCAGATGAAATCACACTGGACTGAGAAGAGCCCTGTGACCCTCAATTCCCTTTCAAACCCACTGTCTGCTAAAACACAGGCCTCCAGCAGGAAGGTAGGCCCAGTGTTCCTCTCCCTATCAATAAATAGACTTAAATACCACCTTATAGCTAAGACCAGCAACCCAGATTCTTGTTAAAGAACAACAGTTATGTTTGTAAAATTATTTTTGTCCTTCAAATCTCTCATCTCATTCCAACAGACATTTTAAATTTCCCTCCAGAAGAGTGCATCTCCCTCCCCAGGGCGCTACTGTCCCACACACGGCGAGTATCTTTGGGGTTACTTCCCAAAGAGGTCAGGGAAAACCAGTTTTTAAGACAAATAGTGAACGTGACCAAGCCATTGCAGCAGCTCAGCCCCCAGTTTTTCCCCTGCCCAAGTCTCTGATCCATTACTTTTAAACATTACCTTTGTGTTAGCCTTTTTCTCTTCTCCTTGGGTCACAGCAATTGCAGACTGAGAATGTTTGTGTAAACGTCGATCCCTGTTTGAAACAGAATTCGAAGAGAGTATTTTTGTTTAGTTCTTGTTTGGTTGGTTTTGTTCCTTTCTTACATGTCATCTCAATCTGGTCTTGGGTTTGGAGATACCAGAGCCCACATGGATTTTTCTAATGTGAAATTTAGCCAGGAATGAAATTCCTGGAAGTCTTTATTCTGTATGCTTAGAAAGGAAAGGAACAGGTATTTTTGGCTGTGGTAGGTACAACAATAATCTCTCACTTGCTGATAAATAATATGCCAAAAAGCACAGTATAATTGCTTATTAGTTCTTCCAAGTAGGTAAGATATACTTGTTCTCTGCTCTACTTTGAGGGGCTGCAGAACATACGTTGTTCTGACTTTTTCCTCACCACATTTATAATATACTCCCTCCCGTTTTACTGCTCAGCAGCTCTTTGGAGATTTCTCACCTTCCTTCCTTCCCATCCAAGCTGTATCCTGTCCCAGTTTGGTCAGTAGAAGCAACATCCTGGAGGAGGAGGAGGAGGCACAGAAGAGCAGGGCAGATTCAACCCAGGAGTCAGCTCGTTTCTTAAGGGTTAAGGAAAAGGAAGCCTTGATCCAAGCCAGAGCAACATAAGGTCTGAGAGGCTCATTAGTTCACTGGCACTTAATCGACTGCCCTGTCCTAGGAGTAAATGAAACCTGCACCTCCTTATGTCTTTGTTCTCTTCTGACAAAAGAAAACTGTACCTGTTTTTTTCAGGGAACAAGTGATCTGAAAGTTCCCGTGGTGAGAGAGATTTCTCAGCGCGTGCAAAGTGTGAAATGTATTTTGAGGGAAAAAAAGTTTTTAATTACTATTAACACTTCTGAGCCTTGAGCTGATGGAAGGATTGAAACTGCTTTGCAGTCTCTCACATTCATCTCCCATGCTGCTGGTGCCAAAAATGTATTTTTTTTAACAATACAGCAGATATAAAAATAAATTATAATCTTAAAAAAAAAAGTTAGAAATACAGTTGCGATTCTGCTGCTCACACAACTGGATTATTTGTTCCAACGCACTGAAGGAATAATAGAGCTCTTGAACTGTAGCTTGAATTTTAGCACTCTTCAGAACCTGATCTAGAACTGGGAAGAAGGCAGAGCAAGAGGGAATGGAAAGATAAAAGGTGGCCCAGGTGTGGCTGCTCATCAGAAATGGCCCCAGAATTCTGGAGGTAAGGACAGCAAAAGCCCAGGCTGGTTCCCCAGCCGTGGCTGGATGCCTGGAGAAGGAGATGGGGGGCAGTGGGGTTTGGTATCAACTGCAGAAGATGCAGACAATGAAAATAAAAGTTTTGTGCTTCTGATGGGCCAGAGCTGCAAATGAAGTCGTGTGTTTGGCTGACAGCACCACACGGATCTTGGTTTTGCAAGAACTGACATGCTCTGAGGGCATCTGCGACCCATTTCAGGTCCTTCTCCTGAGAGAACATTACCTGGAGTTCAAACTGGGAACGGGGTCTCCCTTTTTAGATATTTGGGTTTAAAGTCTTGAGGGGAGAAAAAAAAAAAAGCAAAGCCCAACCAAAAAACATTCAGCTCAAGTTTCCACATTTGGAATGACAACTCTGAGCACATTTTTGCACACATTGTGCAAGTAGAGATGCACCTACGTTCCCTTAACTAGTGCAAGGCCAGAGTCTGAAGGATTTTCCCCTCTTCTTGCACTGTAAGATCAATACAAATTTAACTGCAAAATGTCTTGAAAGAAATACTTTTAAAAATCAAAGTCATTGTCATGTGTCCTCTTTATAGGCCATAGCTTCATGGGATGTAGTTTTGACCAGGAATATCACTCCTCAGGTGTAACACCTTAGTTCAGCCCCTCACCAGTGACCCACAGCATCCGAGTCCAGCTCCTCTGCTCTCCCCAGCCATTGCTACCACTAATAAAGAAAGATATTAAAGACAATTGTATGCTCTGTTAATTATAGGAAGGTGAACTTGAGTCAAATTTGTTTCTGACGATGATTAATAATTACTGGTTCTACACACATGTAGTACATTACAGTAAATAAACAGGGTACGTTGTTGGGGAGTAATTGATTAATTAGCGTGTTCATACTACATAGCTCAATGGTTTAAGATTGCTGAGTTTGAGATATTGCTTGCAATTATTAAAAGGAAAAAAAAATCTGTTCCCATTTCTCAGTTTACTCTTCTGTACAATCCTGTTTTCTCAAATAGACTGTTTAATGGTTCAAAACCTTAGCTTTTATTTAGAAAGATCGTATCACGGACTGTTGGTTATGATTTTACGGTGTTTCTCTTCGAAGGGGTCTAACGCTCTCAAACAACTATTTTAAAACAGACATCGCTGTCAGGTTTCACCGATCTCCCACCGTTTTTCCCGGGCGCCGTTAACCCGCTCCATGCTGCGAGACGCCGGGGACACAGAGGCCGTTCGGGCCGGCACGCAGCCTGCAGACAAAACCCTGCCTAAAACTGTAATTCCACGATTCTTTGCGATATTCTCACTCGTCCTAACGAGCACTGAGGTTCGCCCCCACCGCAGGGGGGGACGATCGGGTCCGTGCGGGGCAGGACGAGCCTCCCCTCGCCCCGCGGGGCCGCCTTCACCTCAGCGCAGAGGGCTCCGCCGCGGCCTTCCCCTCGCCCGGGCCCTCTCCTCAGGCAGCCGCACTACCCCGGTCTCCTCCGCACCCACAGACAGGAGCCACCCCCGTCGCTCCGCAGCCCCGTCCCGCCGCCGAGGTGACCCCGCCGCCGCCGCCGCCCCTTCCCGCCCTCCGGCCGGCGCAGGCGCTGAGGCGGCGCAGGCGCGGCGGACCGGAGCCGCCGGTGCGGGGGTGGAGAAGGGGGGCGGGGGGGGGTATCCCGCGGGATGCGGGCGCTGAGGCGGCTGCACGAAGCGGTGGTGGGGTTACTGCTGTGGCGGGGCTCGGCGGCAGCGCCCCGTCCCGCCGCCTCGGAGGTGCTGAGCCAGCACCTGCGGCAGCGCGGCCTGCCCCACTGGACCTCCTACTGCGTCAAGTACAGCGCCGTCCGCAACGACCAGTTCGGCCTCTCCCACTTCAACTGGCGGGTGAACGGCGCCAACTACCACATCCTGCGCACCGGCTGCTTCCCCTTCATCAAGTACCACTGCTCCCGCGCCGCCCCGCAGGACCTAGCGCTGCAGAACGCCGCCTTCACCGCCCTCAAGGTCCTCAACGCCGGTGAGTCGCCTCCCGGGCCGGCTTGGGCGGGCGGGCTCCCTCCCCTCGGCTTACCTGGCGGGGCTGTGAGGCGGGCGGCGTGAGGCGCTTGAGGCGGGCGGGCTGCGCCCCTCACAGGAGGGACGGCGGCGGGACGGGTGAGACGGGGAAGGAGGAGCGGGAGCGGCTGTGGCGGGAACCGGGGGCTGCGGCCGGGACCTGCCGGGCGGCTCCGGGCCCCTGAGGGGGGTGAGTCCGCCTGAGGCGCCTCGTCCTCCGCTCCCGCCGGCTGCGAGCGGGCGGAGTGAGGGAAAGGGAATGATTAAAAGCTGCCCGTCCTGTCAGCGGCGGCGAGGGCGCCGGGCTGTAAATCGATATTCCTCGGGGTTTCTCCGAGTGCCCGCTCGGCGAGGGTGGAAAATTAAACCGCCCTAAAGCAAAGGCGCGACCGCTCGTTCCTTACATGGCTCGCTTCGGCTGGAAAAGGGTCATCTTCCATCTAAAATTCTATGTTCTGTTCCCGTGGATGGAATTCTCTCCTCTAAGCGAATACAGGAGCGCCAGGTGAAACGAAACAGTTTGTTTCTTAGAAATGGGGTAATTTCTTCCCTCTTAAAATACAGTGACTGATGGAGTAGGGGACTTGAACCCCTCCAGCCCAAAGTGCAGCGGCAATATAAATAAATAATAATGCTCTATCAATACCTTATTAATATAACAGTAGGTAAGTTTTGGAATACATTATTATTCAAAACTTAGTAAAGGACACAACACTTACTTCAATGGTGTCAGTCGCATAACGAATTTCATCAGTTTCTTGCTTTCATACTTCATTTAAAAGAAACAAATTCATTGGCTTTGCAAGTCTTCGGTGACTTCTTTTTGCAAAATATGTCAGCTAATCTTCATTTTTTGATCTTTTCAACTAAGAAAAGATAATCACAAAGATTGATTTCTTAATAATGACTTTAAATCCGATTTTGTTTTTCCCTCGGCAGTCAGACCTTTCCTCTCCCCGCTCCCCTCACAGCTGCCCCACACCTTTCCTGTGGAAGTGACTGGCAAACGCCACTGAGAGTCTGCTCAGCTCCCTCCTCTCAGAAAATCGAGCTTAAGCACTTGGGGAGCGTTAAAAGCAGGCTAAATTGGGTGTTTCTGTACTGTACTGAATGCAGGGCCTAAATCCAGCTCCATTTCCCCCCCCTCGAGGTAAAATACTGTCACCTGTATTAGATGGGTAACTCTGCAGTGCTAAAAATGACAGCACTTTTTATATATATCCACCTTTCTACGTGTTCCTGTCCTGTTGGAGCTGCTGGTCGTGACGACGATTTTCCCAGGAACAGCTTCATGTTGATCCATGAAGACACTGCCTGTTTTCCTTCCCATTTCTGCTGATACATAAACCCTGAACTGGTGACCAAGTGGATGCCCAGGGAGTTTGTGTCCATGTGTTCAGATAGATATTATTTACCTTTAATCGGTAGAAATGGGGCCGTATACGTGACCGTGTTTCACCCCTTCCACACTGCTGTCCTCCCATTTTCTTTTTCTGTTAATTCCTGTGTTGCTGCTTTTCCTGAGCTGCCTCTGAGTCCTGCGTACTTGATGCACGGGAAGGGTGCTCTGTTCTGATACCTGCTTGCAAGCTTTTCAGGAAAGGCAAAATGTTAATAAGGCAGCTTTTCCTCTAATTTCATTTTGGACTCATTATTCCTTACCGTTATTAGGCGATTTTAATTTTCCTGGCTTGCTATCTTTGTACGTAACGTGTTTTTGTCTTTTCTTAGGCATCCCAACTTTACTGTACGGAATTGGCTCCTGGTTCTTTGTCAGTGTCACAGAGACTGTTCATACGAGTCACGGCCCAGTTACTATTTATTTTCTAAATAAAGAAGACGAAGGCGCAATGTACTGAAATCAAGCCCCCCGGTACCGGTCCCTTGGTGGGTTTCTGTGTTACAGCTGCTACAAACGCCTGCTCCCGTTGCCTAAAAAGAACTGAACTGTTTGTTTTTTACAGTGCATTCTTTGACATAACATGCTGTCTTCAGGAAGCTTCGTGGACTTTTTGGTTGTAAAACATATATTTTTGTGGAGTTTGGTAAAGTTGAAAAAGTAGAAGCCTTGGGAGAAGAATTAATATTTCTAAGAGTGTTAGAATTGATGTTTAAGTCAGTGACTGGTCCTGCTGAACAAGCTTGTGATAATTTAATTTTACCAACTTAGGGAACTGAATTGTAGCGTGCGGGCAAGGAAACTGTGAATACACTAGACGTTTTCAGAACGTGTCTCTGAAAAGATGAAGCTGCTTAGGTTTAGACTCTGGGTGGGTGTCTTGCAATGTGTTAATTGTCATAGTTGCAATGAACCCATGGCACTGACTGTTCACAGGTACCTGGAATACTCTGGAAAAATGCCACTCCAAGAAGTTAAAAATGGTTGTATCACATTTCTTCAAATTATATTTAAATAAAATATCTAAAATATGGTTTATGCTTATTTGTTTGTTTTTTTAATCTTAAACTCCAGATATCTGCATTGTTTTTTTATTTTCATTTTGGTTGCTTTATAGGTAAGAACAAAACGTAAGTAATCCAGAATATTTATGTTGCGCTAATTTACAAATTGCTGATATTTTTATTAAATCCAGGAGAATAAGAAGAATACTACCCTCTTTTTTTTTTTTTTGATGCAAAATAACTGATTTCTCCAGCTGTAAGTGAGACCAGCTGTAACAGGCACATATAATGATGGAATTGCTTACATTCAGTTGGAAACCTGAGCAAAGAGATAGCTTTTAGGGAATTACTTGGATAGTAGAAATATGGAATTATTGGATAGTAAGTTCAAGCAAGAGACACCTGTACAGGGTATGTTACTGGTGCTTAGTTTTAGTGCCAGCAAATAACACTGTATATTTGAATCCCACACCTGGTGACATATATTGATTATTCTGATTTTCATAAATAAATGTAAAATGGGTAGGAGCTGTTTTTGGAGGGGAATCGCCGTTCCTAAAAAAATTGTTATCAAGCTATGACTACAATATAACTTAATTTAAATACTTTTTTTTACTTAATTCCAGATAACGGAACTGTTTCCCACTTAATGAAGCAACACGAGTGTTTTTTCTAAAAGCAACACTAAGTAACACTTTAATTAGAGAAGTGCTTGCATTGTTCTATTTGATTTTGGAGAATATTCTTGACTCAAGTTAAATGGGTCTCAAAGATGAAGAGGAGGTATTACAAGAAGCCTCATTAATAATGACTGTTGGCATTTTTCTAGAACTGATTTTCACTGTATTGGATAAAGTTAAATAACTGCAGCTCATAAGTTTAAAGTCAAATACTGCTCATTCATTGCCACGGATGTGGTCAATACCTTGCTGTAAAGGTTTAGTCTCAACACAGGGTTGATAAAATGGTTTTTAATTACCAGACTATAAATACAGCTCTTCATTGGAGTTGCACCTCCACTCGCTGCAGCTTGTTTGATTTCTGATAATGGGTACTGCTGACTTTGCTTACCTGTTTTTCAATAAATGCAGGCAACACGACTCCTTGTCCATACGGTGATGGGCAAGTCTCCTTAGAGAACATCTTTGACAAACTGCCCTATTGATTCCTGCAATTCTGTGCTGCTTGCAGCATTAAATAGAGGCTTGATTTCTTGTTCAATGATCTCGCCGTGTAACAATTAAGCAAATGTAATATTTTCTTGTATTACATGAAAATCAATAGACCTCTTGCTCTTATGGAGTTGATCATGCGAAAGGATGAACTGGAAGATGTCTGAGGGCAGAGTGCGAATATAGCATCGTTTGGTCATTTCGTTAGGGCTCGTCTGTGACCCCTCACACTACTTGAGAGGGAAAATCTGCTATTTGTAAGGAATAACGTTCAAGTTACTAAATCACAACAAAGATCATTCTCAAATGTGAATATAAACCTACTTGCTTGTCTTCAACCAAAGGTAAAATACTTCATCTGGTTTTCATTCTCTTTTTACTATAAATACCTACCTCTTAGTATCTTTTTTTCATTGCTTACCTTAAGTGTTGGCCTGAATGCAAGATGGAAATGGTGAGGGTCTAAAAGATTCATACCAGCTTGTCTCAAAAATTTCTGTGAGGCTTGGGGGAAGATGGGGAGTGCAAGTGAGGATGAGCAGTGTGTAGTTCTTGGCCGAACCTTCCCTGCTTTCCCTTTGGATCCCCGTCACCGTGAGCTCTTGCCTCATGGCAGTCGGCTCCTAAAGGGACTCTCCAGTGTGGGGAGAGGTCTGAATGCATGAACTAAAGCATGTCCCTGAAGTGGGCTGTAAAGATGAGTTTCTGGCAGTTTAATTGTTCAAAGATGTGTTATTTGCATTTGTAGCACTTCACTGCTGTCTGCTGCCTGTAAGGCCCTGTCAGGTTCTCACAACCCTGTTGCTTCCAAAGACAAACCTGTAGGGAACAAGGCTTTATTAATTCCTCTGATCCAAAACTATTTGTAGTTGTTTGAATTAGAAGCTTTCTTTTTTTATGTATTATACGATGCGTATGTTGTATACTATACAATATATGCTAATATTGATACTTTTTTTAATAGATAATAGAACTATGAAATGACCCTTTTAACTTTTTAGAGATTTGATCTTCACCGTTTCCATTTGAAACAAACTGTAGTTTATCTTGTAGGTCTCGCCTTAATTATCTCTACTGTATTCAAGACTGATGTTTAAATGAGTGAGAGATGACATAAATAGGCAGGGAGCTTTGTTTCACCTCCCTTAATGACTCCTTCAGCTAAATGAAACCCCAGCCCAAACCCGGAGGATCAGGTAGCCACTTCTTGTAGCAGCCTTTTTAAACAGTAATGACTATTGGGGGCATCTTCACCTAAACGAGCGCTTAGCGTTACATCTAGCCCAGGTCAATGGTCTCAGGTATCCCAGTTAAACTGTGTTACTGTAAATTAATGGAAAATGTAACTGCGCTTTGCTGAAAGATCAATGTCCAATAAAGGCTGCACGATCAAATCTTGTTGCAATGATTGAGGTCCTTAATTGCCTTTCAAAGATAAGGTGGTAATCAACGTAGGTTTAACTGATCTTTTTTACCAGTTCAATTACATGCTAATGACTACAGCCAAGTCAGGATCTTTAACTACTTATACTTATTAAATCTTATGTTTGTTGTGAAAAATTACTTAAGCTACACAATCGATAAAACCCAGGTCTTAATTACTATATTTCACTTTTATACCTTTTTGTATGTTTGACAAATGTTTCGCCAGAGACTGTGCAGCACTAATGACAGTACCCCAAGAAATACTGTTTTCTGTTATTGTCTGCTCCTCCAAATTATGATAACACATGGGTGTTTTTACGTTTGTTTTAATGAAGTTTTGTGACTAGTGATGCAAACATGTCCTAGGCAGCTCATTGTACTTACATATTTAAGTACTTAAATACTTGGAGTAGCCTGGTCTGGTGGGAGGTGTCCCTGCCCAGGGCAGGGGGGTGGAACTGGGTAATCTTGAAGGTTCCTCCCTTCCAACTCAAACTATTCTGTGATTCTACAAAATATCATTTTTATCTATAATAGCACTCATTTTTACTACTTGTTAACCTTCAGGTGGACACAGTTTCAACTTGGAAGTTCTCAACTTTTTTTTCCAATGTAAATTCATACTGGATTTAGACACTAGTAAGGATTGATATTCCCAATTGTTTATGATTACTACTCTCACACTGTCTCAAAAATAAGTTGCTGCATCCCCTTTCTTTCCCTGGAGCACCGTCCAGGGAGAGACATCTCCATTCTTCAGGGAAACCTGGAGCCAACTAACCTTTCATTGACTTAAGCAGAAGTTAGATCCATCCTCAACTTGCTTTGCGTGGTTGATCTCCTGTAATTCTGAGCGTGTTTCAGGATTAGGTAGAATCTTTTGGATTTTTCCTTTGATCTTTTGCATATTTGTGCTCTCTCTGTGTGCAAAAGTTCATTCTTTCAGCACTCAAAAGAGAAGTGTTACTGCATTTTGTTGTGGACAGATTTAAAATTTCCGATGAAACAGAATGGACTCATTCTATAGGCAAGAAAAACAAAGCAGAAAAGTGTGACTTGACTAAATAGTGCCCTTCAAGAATCTAATAGCAGTAAAATGATCCTTGATGTCTAAATCTCTTTGCAAATCATAATTTTAGATCTCCCTGATGCATGTTATTGAACGAACACGTTATTATTCAATGAAACGTAGGTACTTCTTAATAGTTGAATGCCCTTAGGCCCCTTTGGCTTAGACCAACTTTGCCTGAAACAAAGGAGATTTTGCTTCATATATTATTTATTTTGGCCATTTAATTTAAATTGGCTTTTGCTGTAACTCCTTAATCATGTTCACTACGAAAAGTAAGTTAATAATTCTGAAAGTTGTCTTGATTTCTTCCTAAAATATACATATTTATGGAATTAGATGTCATGTTATGCTTTCTTAGGCTGAATTGTTCAGTTTAAATATACTTAAGAAAAAGTGGCAGCTTTGGCATTACAGCAAGGGGAGTGTAGAATAAAAACTGTCACTAATATATTCCAAGTTTATTTGCAAGATTTTTTTGACTTCTAGTAAAGAATAAGATGTTACTACCGTGTTTGCATTTAAGTCTTTAAAGTAAAGCATGTGTGCAGCACAACATAAAAATTTGCATTAATGATTGGGACACTCAATGTCAATTACTGACCTTTGTGAAGTGACTAAATGCAGCTGAAATAAACAGGCCTAATGTATCACAAAATATTTGTTACTTATAGATGACTGTAGTTTAACCTTAATTATTGATGCTAATATATCATCATTTTCTAGCGAATGCAGTGCGATACATATTTGGAAAGTAATGATGTCCATGTAGCATGAGAGCTTTCTGCAGCAGACTGAGAGATCATGATTTTCTCTGAATTCAGGTTATAAATGATCCAGATTATTCACATTTTTAGTGATGAGGTTGTCTTACAGAAAACTCAAATGTCTATCTGTTCAGAATTTAAAAAAATACAGAGGAAGGCACTAAGGTTTGAAATGATGGAATACTCTTATAATTTTGCCAGTTTAGGTGCATTATGGTTGCTGTTTGCCTGGGATATACATATGGCTTAGAGTGATTTTATTAGCAATTGCATCACTTTAAGCACAGTTTATGAGCTCTGTTCTAGTTCATTATAAAACCGATTTATTACTTTCACTGATATTAATAATCCTAATAGAATTAAAACCGTAAAACATGATGCAAAGCAATCCTTCAGACAAAAAGTCAGATCAAGGAAACTTCCAAGTTTAAAATGCAAATTTCAAGAGACACCACGTTTAAAGAACACTTGAAATTTTTGAACAAGATTATAAAATATTGTAAAGTCAAAGCTACTTTAATTCTTGCAAGAAGAAATACCATTAGATATGATTGTTACATGCTTAGTGATTCATGGGCCTGGTTATACCCATGCTTTGTGATATATGAATTATTTAGGAAGAAAAATCACAATAATTTTGTTGTTACTCAAGAATTTATAGGTTGACAGAAAAACAATTAGGCAGCCCCTGAAGCTGGTCTGGTGGGGTACAGTAACACCATTAACGAGACACAGGCAATTTTGCTCAATCCAACTGGAATAGTTTACATTGTGATTTTTCAGTAATTGTGTATTATACCTAGCCTTTAAAGCATATGTAAAACATGCTTGTCATCTGCTTTATTTCAATTTAAAGCAAGAGCTAAACATCTAATAATTCAGCCTAAATAAGTTTACTGGATGGGGTGGGTTTTTTTCAGTCCAAGATGAGTTTACTATGAGAAGGAGTTTGAAAAGATCTACTTGAGGCCAGATTCTGCTCCCACTGAACTGAAAATAATGTTTTATTTCCTGATATTTGGTTCACAAACAGTCCTTTCCCTCTTCTTCCAGAGCCTGTGCAAAGTGAGTGCAAGGACGAGTAGGAAGGCCTGGAAGGAACACAGCTGGTTTTCTGCAAGTTGTAATGTGGATTTTATGGGATCTTAACATTGATTATATATATTGATATCAATATATATTGATCAAGGTGAAACACCTGGGTGAGTCTTTCCTGGGAGATGCATTTTAGAGACGAATATGTTTAGAAAGTCTGGACACTGTTGACCTACTTTTTTCAGAAGCCTGAGGGAATTGGGTTTGCCGCACTTGCTGGCAATCTGAAAACGTGGGAGGGAATAAAAGGTGAATTTCACCTTTGTTATTTTATCAACATAGAAAGTTATGTATTAATCTACTTAAAAAAACAAACAAACATGAAAACTATGCTGCTAAAGCAATGATCAGGTGCCGTTTTCTCTAAGAAATGAAGAGCTTACCCTTTTACGTGTGATACCATGTAGAAACTGGTACAGGGAGGGAAAAGAGATGATAAATTAGATTTAGTGAGCCAAGGACTGGCACTTGGATTCTGCTTCCTCTGAGCCTGATTTTATACTCTATCTGAATTACATGTAACGTAGTGCAGTAGTGATAATACAGTATTCCAAAATATTGTTAATAGGTAAAACGTTGAATAACTTTTAGCACACGTGGCTAACGAACATTAACTATTTAGTTTGTTATGAGGTAAATGCATGCTATTCAGATGTCATAGCTGGGCAAATTCTAGTAATGAGGTTAGAATGTCCCAGGGATGCTCAGGAGGAGCTATAATGAAAACGCAGGACTGCCCGAGTGTCCTCAGCTCCCTTCCTGTGCCTCATTTCTTTTCTCCAACAGACTGAGCACAAGGCTTGAGGAAATTCGTTTTGGGTCCTAATCCCAGTTGCTGTGCACTTCAACTCCTGATACAGCCCAGTGCAATTGCCATAATTCCCCTGCTTTCATTTTCACTGAATATTTACAATGGGCATTCCGTAAGGGTTATTATAAAAATAGCATGTACGTCAAGAAATGCTGTGTAAAAAGGACTATGTGAGTTCCAAGCACTGCATTTTTCACCTGCATTCACTCCTGAGGCTGAGCTCACCAAGGGCGAGGAAAAGCTCCCAGATACAGGTCCTGCAACAGCAATATTCAGGAACAGGGCCAGGGGAGTAAGCTTTTTCTTTTCTCCCTCTTCTTTTTATGGAGTCTTGGTAGAGGGACTCAAAATTTCATTATATGATGTCTGCAGTAGTGAAAAGATAGAAAATGACTTGTGTTAGATACCTTCCTTTGCAGTGGGAATTAAAGAGGGAAACAAGTAATAACTTATTTCCTTACTTTTTGAGGGCCTTGCAAATTATCCTGATAACCGTGTTTCAGGCAATCAGTGGGGTACAACATTTTTTTCCCTACTGCTCACCGCTACTCCCATGAGATTCCACAGCGTGGCAAATCGAATCATTTTAATATTCTTCTGTGTCAGCATTCTGTTTTTCCTTGGAAACAGTTATTTTCTTTACGTGGCCATCTCCAGATCTCCTCTGCCCCCTCTACAGCAATGGAAAGCAGCAGAGAGCAGCAGCAGACTGCAGTGAGACAGCGGGGCTTGTGCTTGTAGCAGAAAACCAGCCTGGAAGCCTGTGGAACTGATGGCAGGTATTTCCCCCAAAAAATAAAAATAGAATTTATAGAAGTCATAGGCTTCATGATCCTCCTGTAGTTAAAGAACTGAATATATTGTTCCTTTGCAGATTTTGAATATTATGTCATTGTGGACAGACAGTAACTTTGGGTATGTAATTGTAAATAGGAAATCCATGCGTATTTCCTGCTGACAGCATGTCATCTGGATTTAGTGGAAAAAATCACACTGCTTAATTATGTTTCTCTGTGGTTTTCTGCAATTCTTGAACTTCCCATTTCTAAAACTTTTAAAGAGGATATTTTTGGGGCAGCCAAATACCAAACTTTAAGAACATTTTATATACACATTAAAAAATATCCGTGTTCTTGCTACACGAATCTCCCCCCAACATTGAGGAAAAATATAAAAATAGATTTTGGTGAAGTTCTGTTCTCATAGCAGAAAATCTGCAGGATGACAAAATAAATATTGGCTATTTGATTCAAATGTTGCTATAGTTAGAATGAAAATTTCTTATGAAACATGGGTTTTGAAGAAATATGTGGCAAAACCAAATCTGTATCAAGAAACATGTGCTTAATGTGCTGTACTTCTTAAGACATAAAAAAACTTTAAGTTTGATTACAGCTGCATCAACACAGAACAGAGGATTAAGGTTATGATTAGCCCTGGAAAATCTACATAATATTCATGCAAATATGGCAAATTGAGTTGTTTTTCCCCATAGTCTTGTAAATGAAAAAGACATTTTAGAAAAATTGCGGTTCTATAGAAATTCTATGATTTTGTATCCTATTCTTTAAAATTTAATAGAAAATGAATCTGATTTAAATGAACCTGACTGAAAGGTATACAGGGACTGTAGGTAAAAGGTTCATTTGAACAGAAAGATGTCTGTGTGGGCAGCACCAATCCCTTAGATACTTAGGAGCTGGGGCTCTATTAATTTCTAGTGTAGGAACTAAATTATAAAGTTATTGAACAGAGAGAGAATTTATCTCTGCTAATGGCCATTGAAAGATCCTTTTTCTTCTAAGGCTCAATGTAGAATTCTAGTAAGAAGCAGCTTGAAGATGTTTCAGGAATTAAATCAAATACACCTTCCATTTTTCCCCCCTTTAAATTGATAATATAAATCAAATCGTCTAGTTTGTCATGTATGATAATGTGAGAGATTGTGATAAAATGCACAGATCAATAGCCTACAATTGAGATTAACGCTCTTCTCCTGAAAGTTTTGTGCTGCAGAGCTGTACGGAGCAGAGTCTTCCCTTGGACTTTTGTCAGGCAAAATGTTTTTTTTTTTAAAAAGCTGCACATAGTGCATTATGGCTTGTCATTGTGGCAGGGAGATGCCATCGCTGTCACACTCAAACACAGAACCATTCCTTGCTGCTCCTGAGGAAGAGACATAAGCTTTTTAGGGGGATTTGTCTTTCCTAAAAGCCATGCTTTAAAAATGGACCGTTTTGCAATGGGCTGTATTCTGCTGCACGACTGAACAGGTGTGGAGAAACTCTTCTGTGGAAGAATTTTACCCGACCTCAGTATCGGCAACGCTTAGCTGAGTTTTTTCTAATGTGTAGTGAGGGAAGTTATGGGACAGGTAATGGCAAAACTGCTCAAAGACGGCAGTTTGGCGGTAGCAGTGCTGAGGGGAGCACGGAGCGGCCCTGTGCAGGGCCCAGCGCTGCTCCCGGCGGGGCGGCCCCACTGTGAGGGTCGGGGTAGGGCCCTCACGCTGAGGAGAGCAGCCATGGGCCAACCGCACACCTTGGCCACACAGGTTGTTTTCGATGTGTGTTCTTGTGCATTAGATGGAATAACCTGAAGAAAAAGCCCCATGAGTTCTTAAGGAGAAGCGGTCACCGGAGGTGACCCCAATACCTTACCCTGAAACTTGAAGAGGGGCAGCGCTGGGCATTTTCCGAACTTTGTAATTAATGCAGGAGTCCGAGCCTGACTTTGTTTGACAGCTGTCTCAAGAGCGGCTCTTCTGTTAAAAGCATAAGGCCTAAAGGGGAGAAAAAAAAACCTGCGTTTTTCGGAGCGATTAGCGCTCGCTCCCCGGGGCGGGCTGTCAAAGGGCTGACGGCCGCCGCCTCCCACAACATGGCGCCGCCTCCGCTCCCGCCTCCCACAACATGGCGCCGCCTCCGCTCCCGCCTCCCACAACATGGCGCCGCCTCCCTCCACATAGCACCGCCTCCGCTCCCTCCTCCCACAACATGGCACCTCCTCCTTCCCCTCCTCCTCCTCTTCTCTCTCCTTCTTCTCCTCCTCCTCTCGGCCCTTCCGTTTTGGTTCCGGGGCAGCGAGTCCTTCCTGCGGTCGGGGCGGGGCGGCGCAGGCCCGGCTGTACTCGGCAGCCGCCGCGGCCCGCCGCAGCATGTGAGCCCGGCGGGGCGGGGATGCTCTGGCTGCTCTGCGGCCCCTCCCGCGCCATGGAGACCCAGGCGCTGGTGATCCGCATCAAGATCCCCGACGGCGGGGCCGTCGACTGGACCGTTCACTCGGCTCAGCTGCTCTTCAGGGACGTGCTGGTGAGTCCCGGCGGTCCCGGGACGGGTTCCTGCCTCTGCCCGGGAGGGGACGCAGCAGCTGGGGAGGGGACGCGGCGGGGTCTTTCGACTCCTGCCGGGTCCGGGTCGGGTGGGGAAAGCACTAACAAAAAAGGAAGGCGAAAGGTGTAAGGTGGGGGTCTTTATTTTATTTTATGTTTTTAAGGAAGGGGCTTTTGTTCAGGTGTCTGCACCTGGAAGTTGTAATGGGAAAGCGGTTGTGGCAGAGGCTGACAGACCCCACGGGCCTGAGGTGGCGTCGGTGCCCCCGGTGCTCCGGGGTGGTTTTGCTCTCTTGTGCAGGGAATATGAGCTCCCGTTTGCGGTGAAGCGGTTCGGGGCACCCGAGCAGTGGTCTCAGGTCATCTGAAGGGGTTGTCCTTCCGAGGGGCTGAAGGTGATGCTGGGCATGGGGCGTCCCCTGGCCGACCCACCTTGTTGTGGCCACAGGGCATCGCTTCAGAGCGATTTAAAAAGTTGTCACTTGGAAATCAGTGCCTGCTCAGCCGTGGACCGTGGCTGTACTTGCTGTTGATGATATGTGTTTATGGCACCTCCTTTGCCCTGAATTGACCTCAACCCCTGCCTGCCTGCCTGCCTTATTTTTTCCCTTCCTGCACATACGAGGATCCTCTAATTTACTCAGAAATGGCAGTAGTTATTTATCCTTACTTTTCCTTCTTTTTGAAACCTTAGCCCAAAGGAAAGTCTAATCCTCATGTGCAGGTCATATTTATTTTCTTCAGGATGCCCTCATCTTTTCTACGTAACACATCTCTGCGAGAGACTCCATGTGCCCCTCTTTCTCTAAAGGAAAATCTTCCCATACCACAGATCATGTCCATATTTAATTTCTTCTATTGTTATTGATATTGGAGAGAGATTCTGCAGATCTCTTCCCATGTGTTGGATCTTACTGACGAGATGTGGGGATTAAGGGCCTGATTTGCTGAAAAATGCCCAATGTAGGGCCTATAGAAGATTGCAGAAACAATTGGAACGGATGGCAGATGTTCCTGGTTTCATTCTTCCTAACGTTTAGCATTGTCCAAGACGTTCTGTAGGTGAAATAGAAGAAGCAGAACTTTTGGCAGATCAGTGGGATTTTTGGGAGGGGGAATTTCCCTCTGGAGATTCCTGTGAGTGTCCAGTGGTTACACAGCAAGCCTGGATCAACTCACGCTATCCGTCAAAGACAAGTGGAGCAAATCTGAGCCAGGTTTATTCCACATTCTGCTTCATGTTTTCCATTTTTTTTCCCCAGAGTGGGATAATCACTGATGCTTGGACTATCCCGTGGCATTTTAGAATTATTACGAGCAGGTTGAGCTTTCTGTTTTGTGGTGTAGCTGGTAGTTTGTCCAGTCAGCAGGTGAGGCTGAAATGTGACAGGAGCATACATTGCTAGTTTTCTTACAAAATCCCAGATTCTTTGGTTGTACTCACATTCAGTGGTCATTAATGTTCTTCCCAAAGTTCTGCAATGCTTGTGTAGGAAGTTCTGTCCGCTGAGGCAGCCATAAAACATTTGATGATGACCATTGCCCATGTTGTAGGCACTTCTACCCTAGCCACGCACAGCTGATGAAGCCAGGAGTGAACCCTTAAGTGATGGTTTCATTTGGCACAGCAGAGAACTGTGGAGAACTGCACCAGGTGGGGGTGGCCATTCATGGTGTTGGCTCTTCTATGTGGTGCTGGTTGAGATCAGTGCATTGATAGAAGGATATGAATGGTTCCTGGGTTGAAATGTCCCAGCTCTTTGTTGAGTCAAAGTGGATAGATTTCTCCATCAGGTCACATGTGTGTTGGTGATGGTAATTTTCAGTTCCCCACTGTTAGGCTGTTCATTGAGGGTAGGGGTGACAGCAGAGCTTCAGTCTGAACTGGGAGTGCTGGATTACGGATGGTGAGTCAGTAGGTGGTGACACATTTCTTGCCATCAGTGGAAATCTCAGCTGGGGGGATGAGGGGTGTTATGACAGTATTCGGTTGGGAGTGCAGCCATGCAGCAGCACCCATTGATGATTATTGTTTTCATGTCAAAAGCCCTCCCTTGTGGGCTGTGAAATGCTAAGAGAAGGAGGAAGAAGTTTAATAAGGTCTGAACTGTCTCAAAGCCCTCGTTTGTCTGATTGTATTTAAGGAAGTGCCATCACAGTATGCACGTGCACTTAATTTATCTGGTAACTACAGGAATTAAATGAAGTGAGGCTCTGTACACTAAAGTGTGGTAGATCTGGCACCACCCATGGCTGGGGGGCAGCCCCAAGCCTGGTGGGGAGGGCAGGAGCAGGGCTGACCCTGTCTTCTGTTGTCCTCTGCCTTCGCTGTAATTCCCACTCACCTGGTAGACAATTACAGAGGGCTTACGTGTTAAAGTAGCAATTAAAGACAGTGTGGAGAATTGAGACATTCCCTACGAAGGTAAATTACTGAATAGTAATAATCCAGTCAGCCCCTGCTGTTTCCCTCATTGTCCACATTTCTTTAAGTTGAAGGCACCTGAATCCAAGGTACAATTTTTTTTTCTCAGCTCCTGCTGTTTGGGGCACAATTAAGCTCTGAATAATCCCCGTAATTTGCCTGATGCATGTACCTGTGGTCCAGGTGGTTTGATGGGATGGTACCATCTTGCATTGAACTTCAGAAGCATGTTCTGCTTCTGAACCCAGGTGCATGCCTCCAGATCAGTGGGAACTTGGGGAACCTTAAATTAATTGTAGTAAGGCTGTTCTTCCTTCTAAGGTAGGTCCCGTGTTCTGCTTTGTATTAAGAAAGTCCCTTAAAATTATTTTTGAAAACAGTGAGATTTCTTTAAACATTACTTTTATTAATTTAGTATCCTGGAAGTGTGAGCAGCGTTGTGAATACAAACAAGTGTAGCCTTCCAGGATTTCAGGCGTCTTCCTTTTCCAGAGAGGAAGCTGTGATACAGAGTCACCAAATATCCTCTCCGTAGCCATAGAATAACTCGGTGGAGTTCAGGAGGCTGATACTCAGTGCAACAGCTTTGCAGACCTGTAAGTTAGAAGTGAACAGATTTATTTTAAAGACACCACTAAATGCATTACAATAAGCTTATTTTTCTTTCGTCGGGCTGTCTAGCTTCATTTGCCTGAACTGTCACTGGAGTGTTTAAGCACTTGGTGTTAATTTAGGGTAACTTCACGATGTCATCCCTGAGATAAAACAAGTTTTAACTGAAGTGGGAGTGAGGGCCATGGTTTCAATATTTACACTGTTGTTTAAGGCAGTGCTTTCACCTTTTCTGCTTTCTTGCCTGAGAGATAAGTGCTCCACAGCTCTTCTAGAGAGCAGATTTGGTGGAGTTCTTGTTTCAGCTGCTGTTCACTGATTATTTTTTTTTTCTTCCTCTTCATTGTTAGAGGCTTTTCAGTTTTGCAAGATAAAATAGAAGCTATCGTGTATGTGAGCCCACTTGAATAACGTCTACAAGTCACTGTATTTTATTCCTTGTGATCTCTGTTGTGATAGTAGAAAATCATCATGCATCATCTGTTGAAATTTAGAGTAATCCTTTAAGCTTGGGTCACTGGGAGGTCTGCTGAGTGAGCATGGATGTCTTACGTAGCTGATCAAAATACTGTGGTAACAACAGAGTAATGGTGTGATTTCCCTCCCTCCCACCACCTGCAAGGCTAATTTTTCTCAGGTGCATCTATTAAATAGAAATACTGAAAGCTGACTAGAGCAAAGTTTTTGTGGCTGTTGGTAGGGTTTTCTTTTTAACTATTTATGCCATGACTCTGTCTTACACTAAATGTAGTTCTTAAATTTATGCACTTGGTTATTACTCATTTTAAAGAATCCGAATATATAGACAAAGTTATTCTGAGTAGGGGAAAAAAATTAGAAAATAATTTACCATCATTGTTTCAGTGCTATCGCAGCTTTCGGGGTCTTAGAGCTTTCCTTGCAGATGTTTGGGGCCAGCAGAGCTGTCTCAGTGGCTCACGCACCTCTTAAATATAGTTTGTAAATACCCAAGAACTGGGGTCCTTTTCTGAAAACAATTTTTAAATCCATTTAGTGGAAGCATCTGTGTGCCCACATTGGAACGTTTTACAAGTGGCTTAAGTCTAACACAATTAAAGTGTGTTTGCTGAGGAATTTTCGATGTTTAACTAATTTAGAAATAATTAGTTGACAGCACAGTCTTCTGTTTAGGCAAGACTTTAATTTCCTGTTAGGAGCAGAGGGTACATCTTAGCTACCTTTTGGCAGAGAAGCGACAGAGCTGTCAAACCCTGGAGAGGTATTTAAATGGAAGAGGTTTTGGTAACAAGGCAATATTTGGTGGGTTTGTGTGTTTTGGTTTGGGCTTTTTTTTTTCCATTTTTGGTTCCACAAATTTACAATCTACATCATTAGGTAAGGTGCATTGCGCAGGTATTTTGGTGTATTTTGTCTTTTTGTGTGCAACTAATAATTTAAATTATGTATTATTGGGTTATTTTAGCATCTAAAATGAAAAGACAACATGAGAAAGTTTTAGAAATACTGTGTGCTTCAGTTAGATCTGTGGAAATATTTAGGTTGCTTCTGCTGCTTTCTCATTGTATTAATTGTCTCTTTCTGACACTGCACAGAATGTTTAACTCCCGGGTTTTAGACTAAATGAAAAAACCGGAGAAAACAAAAGTGACAGGACAGTGATCACTAAAGCTTTGATCCAGGGGGGTGCTTAGCACCCTGAGATGCTCACAGTGTACGTAGTACAATAAATATTGTTGCTCATTAATTTCTAATCACTTGGTGACATTGTCAGCGGAGAGATTGTCTGACATGAGAAATGGGGCAGCAGGAAGGAGAAAACCATGCTGTGCGTTTATGCCGTGCCCTGACATGACATATTGCAGCCCTGCAAAGGCTGACGACAGCACCTACCCTGGGAGGCCGGGATGACTTCCGTCTGAGCAGATATTTTTCAGTGAATTTTGAGTAAATGTTGTATGTAAAGGCGAAAAAAAAATAATAATAAAAGGTGCTGGTTTGGATGAGAGACGTGCAACGCTTGGAAAGTGATTGTGTGGCATCATCTAACGTCAAGGCTGGAGGTTGCCTTCCAGGATAGGACTTCTTTGGCTATTTTAACCTTATTTCCTCCAGGGCAGGCAACATATTTGAATCTGTCCACCAAGTTTTGAAGAAGTTTTAATTCCAATTAATGACAAAGAGCCCTCCAAACTTTCCAGATGGTGTGGAGAGCATCTTGAGACCCGGCGCTGTGTTGCAAGGCAGCTGCTCGGCCGCTTTCCCAGGCAGTTGTGGAGTGAAAGCAAGAAAAATGTGTTTGGTCTTTCAGCTCCTGTTTTAATTGAGGATGGCAGCTCTAAACCCATCCAGAGGTGTTTGTTACCCCATTGTTCCTGAGCTGCAGGCAGGGCAGGAGATGGAGCCATAGGAGAAGGTTGCTTTGTGGTGGGAAGGAGGACAGGGCAGGTGGCGAGGAGGAATCAGAGTGATATGAGAGACTGAAAGAGAAAACGTGCCTTCTCACTTAAAATGCCATTCATAAACCTCTTTTTTATGACTTATGTACATTTTTCTGTAACCTATGAACAAAATCGATTCTTTAACCTGCAAGAACAGACAGCACTGACTTTGCAATTCTGATTGAGTTATTTGAGTTTTCCTCATGGTAAGGTGAAGAGGAAGGAGAAGAGCACCAAGATTTGTACTGATTTGTGTTGTGGGCTAAAAAGTCTGTAATTTTGGGGCAGTGGTGAGTGACAGGTCTTGAAGTCTTCAGCCTGCCTGTGATTAAGATGATTTACTCTAGATAATCTCAGGCATTTCCCATTTGATCTATAGCTAATTCTTCTGTATATTTTAGGATGCCATCGGTCAAGTTTTGCCAGATGCAACGACAACAGCATTTGAGTGTAAGTATGACTTGTATAAACTCTCTGCTTTGTCACATTATAGGGCTGACATTTTTTAAATAGATAATGTTTACATTCATTATATGTTACAGTTAAATATTTATGCATTAATGCAAGTTTAATGTTGATACTGAACTAAGCAATATTTTATTATTTAATCACATCTTGAATGAGCATATTTCTACAATATAGCTTTAATTACCAGCATGACCTTACTATGCTCTTACTCCTTACTGCAATTGTATTGCGTGAACTAAATGAAAAGTATAAAGTACCTGTAAGTCTAAGTTTAAAATTTTAATCCCCCATTGGAAGAAACCCAAGAGCAGCAGCTTTTACAGAAATATGGTACAACGTACAGATTTTGTACCAAATGCAGCAGCGTTGGAAGTTAATGTTTCCTTTCACTGGAACAAAGGTCTGTTATTTGCTAGAAGGGCTGCTGTGCTTTTAATTTTCCTTGAGTTATTCAGCTGCAGCTCCTGGAGGAGGTATGAGAACTGCAGGAAAATGCCACCTGGTTAGACTTGGGCAGTAGAAAGAATATCTGCTAGAGTCTTCTAGAAATATTACTATTTCTTTTAGAAATAACATGGGTTGGGTTGAGAAGCTGGGAACATACCTCCTGTGTAGGATCTGAGCAAGCTGGATGTTGGGGTTGTCCATAATGGCACTTACAGCTCATGGAGATGGTCATATTACGCTTTTGCTGAGTTGGGAAAGCTGTCGGTGATTATTAGTACAGATTTAGGCCTATATCTCCTAATATCTATTTGAGCTCTATTCTTTGAACCCTGTTTATTTTTATTTTTGGAGGGATTCCTGGGGAATTGTCCTACCTGGAGAGCAATAAGCTGCAAAGGGGAGTCAAACATCTGTGTCTCAGGGGATAAGATGCCATGCTAGAGTTCTCTTCCAAGTGGAGGACTCTCCCCGTTGTTCTCTTTTATTTATTTTTTTTTTCTGCCTATCTCTGTGGTTTTCTTTGATAGAGATGAAATAGCAAGAAGGGGCTGGAGGGGGTTAAATGTGCTGTATGAGCGAGGTGGTGATGCTGAAGGTGAGAGAGCAGATATAACAAGATAGGGCCTTGCATTCCTGTTAGCATTTCTCCCCTTTTTAGAGCTTTATGAATAATTCTACATCTAAATAATCAAAGGAAGCATTGTTATGTGGTCCTTGAAGTACTATTTAGAGCTTCTCACTTTTCATATGTTTGTTTCCCCCCCTGCAAAACCTCAGAAACCTATGAATGGAGATTATAAGCGTTATTTCTTTGTAGCCACAACATTTCTCCTGCCCTACTTTTTAAAACAAGACTTTCCAAAGAGACCAGGCTCCAGGCCTTGCCTTTTGGTGGTATTTTTTTTTATGATTTGATAATATTTTTGTTTTGCATACCTCCCACATCACACATTAGCTTTGTTTGAACTTCATGCACCAGTAGCAGTCGCTGCAATCAGGGCAGTAGCCCATATTAATGGTACCATGTGTAGAACTTTCCTGGAAATACTTATTGCGTTGTGTCTTCTAACATCTGCTTCTGTGCTTTCAGTTCATGTCTCTAGTCTGTCATTTACATCTGCACAAACCCATTTCCCCTGCCATTTAACTGGCATCTAAAATATGTTATGTATATTGATGCGTGATTTTTCTGGTTACTTTTTCCATATCGAGTGCCTGGATTTTACTGGTTTAAGCTTCGTTCTCACCTGCTTCATTGCTTCTTCAGATGTGGATAATCACCATCCAGCGCCACAATCCTCTACTCTTTGTTTAGTTATTGTTATCTCCAGCGTACCATCCATTGTGGCTCCTACCTGGGGCTGCACTTCTCCTCCTGTTGGACCTTGATGTGGATTTCACCGCTGTATTACGCAGCGCTACAAATAAAATCACTAACAACATATGGCCTGTTATGATCCTTTTATCCAAACTCTGCCATTTTGTATATTTGTGACACACTGCAGATTTTGGGAAGATTGCTTCATAATATTTGTTTACCATCTGCTGCACTCTATTTGGTATCTTGTGAGGATTTCTTCCTCCATTTTAAGTGACATTAGCAAAATCCAGCCAGTACGTAGGATTTTTTGGTTCTACTTTTGCTTCCCTAATGTGCTGGAAAATCGGATTGCTGTGCTCTAGGCAAGTAGAGAAGCCTGGAAATCTTTCTGAACCCGTGTGTCATATCGAGCTAGTTTTTTGGGATATGCCCACTTAAATGTCCTGGTGGGATGGCAAAGGATCTCTGCACAGGTATGAGAAATAGATAATTATATTTTTTTTTCTGGTTTTGCTCTTTATAGGCACTGACTGGCTATTTTAGATTGAGTTTGATTTTTTTTTTAATGCCAGGTAACATTTTCTGCCTTTTCATCAGCATATTTTTAATTTGTTCTCTTTGTGCCACCATAAGGAATTTTGCACATGTGAGAACTTCAGAGTTAATTTCTTAATCATTTGAAATGAATAAAGTGTGATTATATTTTTTGTAATATTTTTTTAGCAAACATTCTGCAAGTGGGATCTAAGAATTTTCCAGCTTTTTTATTTTTCTTTAATTTTTGCTGGTCCCAGCTCAGTTTGTTCCCTCAGGCCAGGCTTGTTTAACAGCTTTTATCTCCATATATCCAACTTTCTCTGTCATATGTTTCACCTCTTCTGCATTTCACTCTGATCCCTTCTTGACTCATGGTCTTCCTTGTGTTCACAGTTGCAGCAGCTGCTTCTTCAGCTTTTCTTCCTCTGTTCCACGCTGTGACTGGGACTTGGGTTTGGGCCAAGGTAGCGGCTTTACAGCTCCTCCTTTCTGCCTAAAATGTTTCCAGGCAAGGAAGCTTTCAGTTTCCACTCACTAACTCTTCTTAATCTTTCCATCATTCATGACTCGCTGCAGGCTGGTAACCCTGGCAAGTAGTTTTAGCAATCTGGCAATTCACCAGTTAAATTGCGATGAGACAAAGCGCTTGTAGGACACCGCTATCTAGTTCCTCTTCCAGCTTCCGTGTTTCCAGTGTCCCATAGCTCTCTTCCAGTACATTTTTAAGTGCAGTTCTAAGGTTTTTATGTTACTTTTTTTATTTTCCTTATTTGTCTCTTGTGGTTTTACTTTCTCTTCTACGTTGTTTTTTTTGTTATAGCCTCAAAATTACCTGCTAGGTTTTCAGAGGCAAAATGAACCAAGTCTTTTTCTCAGGTAATTTTAACTTGTTGACTCGGGTCTGTTCCCAGGTTCTTTGCAAAACTGGGGGCAAGAGAGAGTTTTCATCCAGGGGATAGGGGGGCACTTTTTGATGCTGATGTATGAGGCAGGGGCTGTGATTTAGCCCGTGTGTCTGTGTGTTTGTCCCTGAGCTGCCACCACAAAACTGTGATCTCCTGGTCATGCTGCTCATGCCTCCTGCCATCCCTTCACCCCCAGTTGCACTGGGAAGAAAGGCATGGACTGGTTTTCTTCTTCACAAATTTCTGCCTTTGTCTAAATCTCTCTGTATAAGTATTGCAGATTTGTGTCTGCTGTAAGTTAGGGTTTAAGTCAGTGTTGTGGTGGCATTAAAAACCTGAGATGCCCATGCGTTTGGCACAGGGAGGGGGGCAAAGGGGTGTGAGGAACTTGACCTAGGGCAGGTGACTTGAGGTAGGGTTGACAGCGAGACCAGAAGGTTTTAGTGGGAGGAAAACAGTATTGTTATTTTTTTAAATTTCTAGTAATTCTGATGAAAGAAACTGCCAAAACTTAACTCCATCTGGGAGGATGGAAGCACATTCAAACTAATTTATTTGCTGTGTCAAAAGAATACCTTGATGAGTTTCAGCGGGGTCGAGGCAAACTCAGAAACTACTTTGTTTGCTGTGTTAAAAGAATACCTTGATGAGTTTCAGCGGGGTGTATTATAGCAGCTTCTGGAGAAGGTTCTGGCAGTAAAAAAACTGTTGAGAGCAAAGTTTTGAGTGTTTTGTTTGTGCTCCCTTTTTAGATGTAATTAGAGTCTTTGTTAATTGATGTTTGGAGTCATATGTTGTTATTTCAGAGTACCTGGTTACCTGTGTAGTTGGCTTATACATACTTCCTATTTTTATTTGCTTGTAAAAACCTTGCATATTAAAATAGATGAGTTTCAGCGGGGTGTATTATAGCAGCTTCTGGAGAAGGTTCTGGCAGTAAAAAAACTGTTGAGAGCAAAGTTTTGAGTGTTTTGCTTGTGCTCCCTTTTTAGATGTAATTAGAGTCTTTGTTAATTGATGTTTGGAGTCATATGTTGTTATTTCAGAGTACCTGGTTACCTGTGTAGTTGGCTTATACATACTTCCTATTTTTATTTGCTTGTAAAAACCTTACATATTAAAATTGTAAATAACCTTTCATTGTTCATGAACGTAATATGTTTCTTTGTGCATATTAAAATATAACCTTCTTCCATTGTTCATGAACGTAATATGTTTCTTTGTCAGATGAAGATGAAGATGGTGACCGGATTACTGTTAGAAGTGATGAAGAAATGAAAGCCATGCTATCCTATGTAGGTACAGTGTAACAAATGCTAATATTTTCCATGTTTATCAGTTCGTGTATTTTTGCATGTATCAAAGTGTTAACATAAGCTGCATTATTCACAGTACAGTATTATTGTATTAAGTTCATAGTATAATATTTCTGTATTAAGTGTAGGTGTTTAAAAACTGTATGACATGAGATATATGGACATGCTTGACTTTTTAAAAAAAAAAAGACTTGTACACTTACTGATCATATCATAAACATTAAGAATAATGCATCTTAATGACTTTTGCATTAGGTATAGTGCAGGCTAAATGGACTATCAATTTCTTGTATTTTTTATGCAGTACTTAAAGTAACGGCTCATTAAAAATGAACCCCTGGGCTCTAAAAATTTTTCAAAATCTACTTTCATCTGGAGACTGTTTCACCCCTCCTAACAGAAGAGTTTCATTGTAGCTGCAGGCTCAATATTCATAGAGGATTTAAAGACGTATTTTCTGTTTTTTAATATGAGATATATGTGTGTCTGTGTGTGCCTTTATATACTTAGATGTGTGTAAAATCTCTGTCTAGATACCTATAAATTTAAAATCTGTCTACAGAAATAAAGTATGCAGTTACTGAAACAAAGTAATTTGAATATAGCTTCAATGTATCTTTCATGTTGCAGATGTAAGTGAAGAAAAGAAATCATTTAACATTTCCTTTCAAATGAAATTGATAAGCAAAAAAATAACAAATGAGTATTTTCTCTGTAAGCCAGATGGAATACTAGGACCTTATAAAGTCCACTTCTCGCTATGCTAATGGTCTTAACTGGGACCTTAGGAGAAACAAGTCCTGTCCAGTTTTAGATGCTTTTGGTGGGACTTAATGACTTGGTTGAGTTTAGGCCTCCTTATAGGTTCCCTGGAGCAGAGGAAGCCGAGCAGGAATGTGCTTGGATCACCTACATCTTGCCCAAGTCTCTGCTTAACGGATCATTCTTGGGCACCTATTCTCTAGCGTTGGGCACAACGATGTAGTTTTGATGTTGTGAACTTAACACATCAAACTATCAGTGTTTCCTATCGAGGGGACTTGTGTTTTCTAGGCTCCAGGAAGGCTTCCTCAGTGAAATTCTGATTCTTTTGATATCTGCAGAGACTGTCCTATTCCTGCACCCCAGCGATCTTCCCTTGGGAAGGCTGGGCTGGATGTTCTTCACCTGGACCTCTGTTAGCAGACCTTGGTTTCAAAGAGACCTTAGTCATAGGCAATGACTTAATGCTGGGCTGAAGAAGTGCAGGTTGCAGATGCTGGTGATCTATCCCTGTGAAATTCATGGGAGTTTCACATGCCCCTCTTGTGCAGTTTTATTTCCAAAGGTGGTGAAACAATCGTATTACAAGTTTGATATTGAAGAGTGTAAGGCAACTGTGTGAAAGAAAGAAAAATCCTGCTGCAGTCAAGGGGGTTTTGTGCTTGTTTGGTGGGCTTTTTTTTTTTGTTTCATATAACTAGATCACTGGTGATGCTTCCCCCCTGGAATTCTTCATGTTTCTCAATTTTCCCTATAAAATATCTACCATTTTTGCTGTTAAACTTGAATTTTCCTGGCACGGTCTTAAGATTAATCATGCCTTTGTAAGGTCATCTTTTTGCTATGCTTCCAAGCTTACTGTTAAAGTTTCAGTACATTAGAGTTATGATTGCTCAACTCTCTGCTTTCCCTTAAAAATTATGGGATGTCTGTAAATGACTTCTTTCTGCTTCAGCAGCTTTTCTTCTCTGAAAATTTTCCCTTCAGTTTTAAACTCATCTTCTATTTGTGTTGCATTGATGATTTAACTTTATAACATCCTATAGGTGTCATTTTGGGATATGTTTATAAGAAAACAGATGTTCTCAGCCTACGAGTAAAGGAATGAATCTACTGTAATCTTGAAGAACATACTGGGGAAGAAAAATACTCATTTTTGAGTATTATGAGGCCTGCAACAAGTATTTGGAGGGTTGAATAGCTCCTATTTCTAGGAATTTTGATACCCAGTTCAGCTGGTGTTCTCCAAAACTACAGTGAAGGCTTTTCTTTCAGTTTAAGAACACCAAAAAAAAAAAATTCCCTGAGAATATAGGTGTCTTCCATGCAGGTATTACACTGTAATTGGGGAAGATGTTTTGAATCATGCATGACCTCTTATCTTTAGGTTCTGTGGTTTCTGCACTTGACAGTGAGTTATTTTAGAATATGCAGAAATACTTTGTATTATGCCAATGCAAATATTGTGGAGTGGTAAATAAAATCATTTTTCTGTTGCGCATTGCAGTTAATTAAAGGCAGACGTTGAGCAGCAGTGGAGTTGCACTTCAGCTGTTGTCTTGTATCAGTATAAAAAGGCAGTAATTTTTTTGACAGCCACTGATTGGAAAGTTGCTTGCAGCTTTCTGAAAGCAAGGGGTACATGCTCTGGATCAATAACTGGCAAATTTTCCATTAAAAAGAATACCTGAACAATGTTCCAAATAGCCACTGGCATCTTAATTTTCCATGGAAACCTCAAATGCTCATGTGTGGAGGACAAGTCATTTTCAGACAATTTTTCCAGACTACTTGTTAACAGTTATTGCTGTCCCAAAAGGTTGACAGCTTACATGATTGATATTTCATTTACTTGTCATCACTGTTTGAGTAATGGAGAGGGCCATGTTTTTTTTTTCTCTCTCTCTCTCCCCCTATTCTTTTTTTTTTTTTGGTGGGAAACAGTCTCATATATGTTTATTTTAGTTTATTATTCTAGAGAGTATGTAATAGCTGTGCATAAATATGTCTTCAGGTCATAGAACACCACCAGTAAAATGATAATAAAAAAAGTTTGCTGTTCTTCAGCAATTTTGGCCCCCAGTGGAGCAGGAGATTCTTTCACAGCTCCCTAACTATTAGGTACTGGTGACATGTTTTTATGAAGGGATGTGGGGGAGGATTTGTCATGTTATTCATGACCCCCCTGATAGAAAATAAGTCTGTGGTTAGTCCTGACTCCTGAAAAACCTCTTGATCATTTCAAAAGTGGGCTTTTGTAATGAATAGCATTGCGCTGTAGAAGCACAGCAGAAGTGTGTGTCACAGGGTTATTTAAGATGTGGATTTATGTGTTTGTACACTAATATGAATGAGGTGCCCCCCCCCTTAAAAATCTTGCAGTGAGATTTCAGTGAGGGCAATGTTTTTAGCAGCAGATGTTGTATTAGAAGTACACGCAGGGGGTGTGACGGGACAGTCCTTAAACCCTCAGCAATTTTCTTTGTAACAGTTTTTTCACAAAAAGGAAATTTCTTCCTGTTTCTTGACGTGAATGTGAAAAACAGAAGCACTGAGAAACTTCTGCTCATAAATTGACTTTGGTGTGCCTCTAACATTTGCTTACTATCATTCGCGTGCTTAATCCCATTAGAAGAGGCAAGAAAAATGTTCTGTTAACATTAGGTAGTTAATAAACTTGTGTCTTTTTAAAGTTGCATAAGTGAAAAATGCTTGTGGTATGGGAAGCTATTGGTGTGAGTGACATGCACGCGTTTGATTTCATAGAGACTTCGAATTTTTTTCTTGTTGACATCCATTCTTGCCAGTTTGAGTAATAGTATCACAAAACACTGGTAACAGTGACACGCTGAAGTCTTAGACCACACTCGGCTGGTGAGAATTAGCATGAAAGTCAGTGGAGCTACACTGATTTATGCCATGAAGATCTGGCCAACAGCCAGCGTGTTTGCTTCAAAGATGTTCAGCGATCGCAAAAGAAATGTGCTTTGTGATGTGCTTTCAATATTTAACACGTTGTGATGAGAGATGTGTGGGTTATAGACTGTAAACTCCTAGTGGGGTCTATCTCCTGCCCCAGGATTGTGATGGTAAATGTCCTGTCTGGTGGGTGCTCACCCATCCTCAGGAGTGAGTCAATTATGAAAGGCTAATAAAGATTTCATTTTATTAAAATCCAAATGTCTATTTCTTGATTTAATGCCACTCTTCATCCTCATCCTTGTGCCTTTTCTCAGGCTTCCTTATACCACCTGAGATATTTTCTGTCTTCCTGGGTCTTGACGTTCTCAGATGTTTTTATATCTTTTTTTTGTCCATTCTTGGCCTTTCTTTATGAATAAACATTCCCCCCCCCCCCGGATCACTCCCTGTGGAGTCCAAGGGCCATGGTCTGAGGTCGTGGTATCTCTGCAGTGGTTTTCTGGTGGTGCTGTTCTGCATCCCCTGCTGTGCATTAAATCTGCGTGCTAAGGGAACGCGCGGCATCCCCGCCTCTGCGGGATGTGGCCCCAACTGCCCTCACTCTGCTTCAGCGCTGCACATTCTTGGATGGCTTCCAGATTCTTTTCTCCCTTGGAGTTTTCCTCATTTGCACAGGTTTTTGACTCTATCTACGGCGTTTTCTTTGTTTCCACATCTGACTGGTTTTTCCCGGCATCTCCAGGTGTGGCAACTGCTGTGTTTGCTGCAAATGTTGCATTTGCTCAGTCTTCTGGAGCGTCCCCAGGTTTCAGGTGGGCCTGGAACTTGCTTTGCTGAGCCAATAATAGCTCCCTGTACTGGGACCAGTACTGTGCTGGGCATCACAGCCCCTTGGTTATCTTCCTCCTGTGCCACTTTAGTGTGTGAACATTGCAAATGGTGAGAAAGCATTCTAAAGGCTGATATATGCTATGGCAATTTAAAAAAAAAAAAAAAAAGCAGCAAAATACGTTGAATGAAACATTCCATAAGTGCTCTTACCACTTCTCATACATTACTGAGTAATCTCTTTCTTTAATCTCTTTGCAGTATTACTCCACTGTAATGGAACAGCAAGTAAATGGACAATTAATAGAGCCTCTACAGATATATCCAAGAGGTAATGCTTAACAAATTCTAATCAACAATGATGATATCAGTACACTGTTTCATCAACAGTTATGTTTTCGGGAGTTTTAAATGCACATAACATGATGTTTACCTCTTAATTTGGATAGAAGAATTCATTATTGTAGAGAGTGTAGAGAAAACTACATTTATTGCATATAAAATAGCTAATTTACTAAAGTAAATTAGACTAACAAGATTCAGTTTGCATAGTACATATTTATGTACATTTAAAAAACTCATTGGTGATGGTTCTGCCTGTATTCAGACCAAAGCAGATGAATAAGTTAAGTTTTGGATACTTAGGAAAATTGGGCTTTGTGAGATCTTCTGAAATCATTAATCAGTGTAACAGACACAGGGAATGTGACTGTCATTGTTCATTTTGAAAATGGGAACGTGTCTGTCACACAAGCTCAATCCATGACATATTTTATTTGAGATTTGGGCACTTAGCAGTGGTATCAAAATGATCACAAGTACTTTAATAAGTTCTTCTGAACAGGGAAAGGTGTAATCAATTATGTGGGCTGAGGCAATTAAAAAATAGGTCATCTACATCCTGAACAAAAATCCGCAGGCAGCAAGTTAGGTTTTTGGGGATGCACTGCGCTCTCTGAACTCAAATAGTGTTAAAAAAAGACTGATAAATTACATAATTCCGCTGATTCATTCAGGCGTTCTCACTATCCAGTCTTTAAATCTCTGGTTCTTAATTGATGAAACAGATAAGGCTTAAATTCTCCAAGTAAATCTCCCAGCAATAAATTAATTGAAATAATTAAAAATTAAACTACTCACTTAACTGATATTATACAAATAATCATACTATGAGTTTCCCAATTAAACATTCTAGACTTCCATTACTTACAACTCTCTGAAGTTTGAATTGGGCAATTAACCAACAGCCTTCTCAAACACATGCTAATAAGGTCTCTAAAGGAGGCTGAGTTTTCCTGGTAGTTTAGTAGCTCCTGTGGAAAAGAGACTTGAATTCAAGTGGAATATGGAGATGATGGTTTTTATGGCTCAGGGTAGCAGGGTCTGACCGAGAGCAGGGGGCTCCCAGGTTTTTGGGCTCCAGAGCAATCACCAGTCGAGATGTGCTCTCCTGAGGAGTACGAGGACGGCTGTGAGGAGGGAAGGTCTCCTCTGCCTCTCGAGAGGGTCTCACCTTTCTCCTGAACCTCTTTCTGTAGAAGACATTTAATTACTGACATACACTCTACTTAAAACCACTGGCCACCACTTGCAAGAAAATGCCAGCTTTTTGGATGGCTTGGAGAAACTGATATAGTGGATGATCCTGGTAGGTGGGGAACCCTTCCTGGAAATACAAGGCAATTGGATGTATTCCTCTTAAGTAAGGGACAGTTTTGGCAGGAGGTGCTCGGTAGCTGGCACACCTGAGTGTTTAAAGGGATGTTTTGAGATTACAAATCAGGCTTAACCTTCTAGACTCTCCTTTTGGGTTCTTCCTGAAGAACCAGCCAAGTAGATTCCTACTCCTGCTGCTGTTTCCTTTTTCTAGTTGCTTTTCATCCAAGGATAATTTTCTTTGTCTGTACAGATGCAGAACTCATCTCTGTGCTGCTGAGGACACAGTCCCCACGTGTTAGCTCCACATTTCCACCATTGGCTCAACTACACGCGTGTCTGCCTGTATTTCCTCATAGGTGTCTTCCCACTTACTCTGAATTGCTTCAGAGCTGAGATGCTGTTCCATCTTCCCAAATCACCTTCTTAAGACATCTTACTCTTTCTAGTTTTCAGTTTTCAAGTTACCCTGCACTCCCTCCCTACCCAGACCTGCTGCTCTTCTGCAATAGGAAACAAAATGCTCTTTCCTGCATTTTTTTTCCTGTCGTCTTTTCCTGCCTCTCTAATGGACATCCCAAATTTTGTTAGCACAAGCATTTTTCTTTCATGCCCTTTTGGCCATGTCTCCATCAGTAACGTGGAGCTCTTCTGCCTGTAATTGCAGGTTCTCCCTTTTTAAGAGCTTTCTTTGAAAGCCCCATCTTCATTTGAGTCCTTTTCCCTTTCTGCCTCTCTTCTGAGGAAGTCTCCCAGTTGCTATCTCCAGTTTGCTTCCAAAAACTCGTGTCTTCCATAAAACCTGCCAGTACTAAATATCTGTGTGCCACCCTGTGTTACCTTGGCTGTGCTGTATTCATTTGATGATGTAAAGGTCTTTAAGTGGGGTGGGGAGGGGGGCAAATAGTATTTTGTCTATTTTTTTAAAAAATTGCATTGTTCTGTCTAGGTAGTAAGGGCCAGAGTTCTTTTTTCATACCGAAAATAAACCTCTGTGTGTGCATATACATAAATACGTATATATACACGGATATATCTCCTGTCTATGTCATATATATAGTCCATCTGTGGAATACAAGGTGAATACACCATTCTAATATATATAATAAATAAAAGTATTCTTTTAATATCTTGTTCAAAATATCGATTTTAATCTATTGGAAAAAATATGTTTACGTGTATTTTAGAGTAGTTTATTGTTTTCTGGTGGGTTTTGTATGCCCACAGAATCATAATATTTTTCTTCTTTAAGATGCACATTCTAATGTCATTTAAAGGCACATGGTGTGGCCCTAAGTGATGTGTTTAATAACTATCATCTGTGTCCTTCTGCCTAATAAATAGTTCTGTTTCCTGCTGTCAAAAATGGAAGTGAAATGCATGTGCATCCGAGAAAGAGAAAAATCAAATTCATCCCTCCTCAGACAATCAATCAAAAGTGACAGGCCCTTTAACATACAATTTGTAGGGCACTGTAGTTTTAAAATGGGAACTGTCTGTAACGTGTAGCTCGAAGCCTTTGTGGCTTTAACATTTGACAAAAAGCACATCCACCGACTGGAAGAACGAGGCAATATATAGTTTGAGAGACTTTAGGAAAAGACTTTCTCTCGAGCGGCGCGTCCCTCTGTAAACCGAGACATCATCATGAGGTGCCACATTTGTACATCTGTGTCCAAAACGTGGCATTTTGCATTGCGTTTATCCACTGTTTGGCTCCTTGAGACTCGCTGCTGTTGCCCCTGACATGTTTTTTTCCACATTTAAAACAAACTGACTGTGCTTGACAATATGACTAATTTGTGATGTGTGGCAGCTGATTCCTTTAAAATACATCTTGCAAATATTTCTGTTAAATGCCAGAAAAAAATGCAGCGTGTGAATACGTAGCGACATAAGATATTGATTTTAATTTGAATTACAAAAAGAATCTGATAATTTAAGCCAACGGTTCTCTTGATTTTGATGTGTTTTAAGCAGAAATTAGAATTTATATTACATGGTGTCAGAAAGCTCTTAGCATTTATAAATGCTCACTCCTGCAAGTTAAAAATCCTGGTTCATAATTCCCACTCTGGGTCTTGGGAGGCACTTTTCAATCATTTCTCTCTGCTAATTTTGGTGTCACCCTCATTTCTTTTTAAAAGATTCATTTTGAGCAAATTTGTAAATGGCCCTGATGTGTTCTACAATTTAGTCAATTACTGTTTCAGCCTGCAAGCCTCCTGGGAAACGGAACATACATGGCCTGAAGGTACGAATTTCAATAATTGTTTCAGTAAAGTTAGATGGATTTGTAATGCTGTGTTCCACTTATTGAAATGTCAAATAAAACTGCACTTTCTTGAGCTCTGACAAGCAGATTTTTTTTTTTTAATTTTGTGTGTGTGTGTGTGTGAGGGTGAGAGAAGGATTCATCTGCTGGGTGTTGGCTGTGATATCTATATATACAGTTTTATTAGAAATGGAATTGCCTTTCTTCTTGTTTTTAACCTCTGTTAATAAGGTTCCTAAATTTTAATATTCAGTTTATCAACTAATGTCTGCTGCTACTTCAAAGAGTTTAAAAAAAACCTCACCACGTTCATTTGATTTCAGTAATTTGAGTGTGGAAAGCACGGCAATGAAATTCTTTTAGGTTGTTTGATTCATTCAGGTATGCTTAGTGCTTCCATAATCATACCTATTTTGAAACGCAGAAGACAGCGAATGTATTAAATGATTGTTTAGTTTTTAAAATGAGAATAAATGGTGGATGTATCATCTCTTTTTCTGTATTATTTAACTAAGTGTTTAAGATGTAAAGATAATATATTGTGGTCCATGAATTCTATAGCCTGCTAACCTACATACAGGCGAGACCTCCACCATCGGCATGCCTAGCAACAAGCTAATTAACCTTCATAGTGAAATGAGAAATTCATGGCAAATTACAGGTTAATTAGAATAGTGTCCTCTGAACACAAACGACTGATAAAGATCCTTTCCCTGCCTGCAGGTAAATACGCGAGCGGGGTCTGCTAATAATAGCAGTTCAGCGGTCTCGGATTCCCTTCCAAGCAATAGGTAAGAGTCAGAAATGCGAGCGTATGTTTTGTTTTGTTTTCTTTTATTCAAATAAAATGGAACCTTGTGTGTGGTAGTTACCAAGAATAAGCTCGATGGTGAATAACTTTTTCAATACGACTACTGGGCACGTGGGAGTGAAGTGGGGAAGGCGAAATTACCTTGATCCATGGATCTTGTTAGGCTCGTGCTGCTGGTTCTTCAGGAGAAGTATTTTCTGCCGAAAGAAATAAGTCTTTGGTGGGTATTTCAGGTGGCTTTGTCCTTTATAAAGCATTAAAATACTGTTCATGGGTGAGCTAATTTGTTTTATTTTATTTAATAATCACTCTCTATGGCAAGATCTGTATGTTCAGGTCTTCCTTGCTTTTCACGTTCCAGGATTCTTTGATTTTAAAATTTGATACCCAGTTCAGTAAGGTTATTATTGTGCGGTACTATTTTTGAAATATCTGAACAATCTGATTTTTGAAAAATCTGCTCTGTTTCTTGCAGTTTCAGCAAAGTTTTGGGGTCCAGCTCCCTTATCTTTCTTTTTAGATTCCAATCCTAATTTCAAAACTTATAGTGAGGTCTTAAAAAGCAGAACTCTTTCTCTCTTTTTCCTAAAACTCCCTTTTATTACGTGAACTGTTACAGGAAGTCATTCTACTCAATGCAATATTAAACAAACAAAGAAAAATCCCACAAAAACCCGTTGTGTATTCTTAAAAGGAAGTAGGAGAAGTCTGGCTCCATCTTCTTCATATAAGACCATATTTGAAATGTGGGGATGGAAATCTCCAGCGGTCCCTTTCAACCTAAATTTTTCTATTATTCTAAAAAGCATACAACATTACATTTATCTGTGCATCAGCGCAGTGCTCCCTTTTCGTTCCGAGAGCATTTTGGATAAAAAATTGGGGTGAAAAACGATGGAAGCCACAGTCACTGCATTGAGCACGTTCGGGTGGGGACACGTCAGTGCCCGTTGTGGCAAACACGGTGACGTGCTGCGGTGGTGGGACTGTCCCGCAGCTCCTGTCTCTGCACGGTGCCACTGATGTGCCGTGGTTGCCCGTTGGCGAGCCCCGTTCAGGTACCACTAAAACCAGTTTTGGTTTTTCCTTTAGTGGCTTTGCTAATTGTATAAATGAAAAAAGGAAAACCAATACCCTGTGTCGGTCTCCTCGGGCAGAGTTTGCCCCCATCCCTGGGGGAAGATGTGCCGCGTATCGCGATGGGGAGGGTCCTATCCAAGACTCTTTAAGGAAAATAAATCTGAATGTCTTTCTGAGCTGCAGTCCTCCTCCCAATCTATCATCCCACTGAACTAAAAAAAGCTGCTTTCTGTCGCTGTTGTGTTTTTGGCTTTTAGTACTTCCTGCACTTTGAGCTTGTTCTTAAAGTGCATTGAAAATGAGGCTTCTAGAAGATTCTTGTCACCTTATTTGGTGGTTAATTGCCATTCCTTTTCCGAAACCTTCTGCACTATGAGTTTTGTTTTTGAAGTAATTGAAAGTCTCTCTTTGTTTCATGTTCACAAATTGTTAGTCATGAAAGATGACAAGATCAACTTATGTTTCCTTGGAAAACTTAATTTTTCTTTAAAGTAGTCGTGGGAACAAGAGGGCTATTAAAGAACAAAGCCACCAAATAGGAAATCTGTGTTTTCACTGTTCTTGTTAATAATGATCTGTGATCAAGACACGTGCACATGCCTTTCAAGAATATATTATTTTGTACTTCTTTTTTTTTTCTAAACTTCAGTAATAAGAGCAGAATGTCGCTTTGAGATGAAGTTTTGCAGATGTACTTCTACCCAGGCAGTTTCTTGTGTTGAACGAACAAGGAGCAGAGTCTGTCAGGAGAGGAGGAGAAGTGATATTTTGCGAGTGGGTGGAAGTAGCTTGAAGCCGTTCATAATTTTACCTACAAAACTCACCAAGCTGATAGTTGTGGTTTGTTAAAACCCTTCTGCTACAGATTTATAGAAATTACAGAAGGATAATGCCTTAAGGGGTTTTGAACCAAGATAAGGCACCTGAAAACTAGATGTGAACCTTATTTTGCTGTTGTTTTTTGAAACATCAGGTGTGTGAGGGTATCTCTTTTCTCTTTTTCTTCTTTGAACTGACAAACAATAGTTCGTATCTCAAAGGGGAGTATAGTCAGGTATCTAAAAAGCCCAGTTTGTAAAGGTAAAAAATATATTGATTTTCTTAAATGTTCATTGCTCCTCCATTTCTGCTGCCTGCATTTTGAAGAGTAGCTACGTTGAACACCACTCAGTGTTGCTAAAGTTAAATCTATTTGGAATATGTAACCATGAACTTAACCTGCTGGCTTGTTGTTTCTTACGGTTTCACTTCATTTTATAGAGTGAAATGGAACAGTCATTAAAAATAATTGCCTCTTGTTTTTTTCAGCTTGAAAAAGTCTTCTGCAGAGCTGAAGAAAATACTTGCAAATGGCCAGGTAGGTGCACTGAAATGAGTCTTGGCTACACGCGCGTCTCGTTACTGCCTAATACTACAGTGATTGGCATCCCACAAATAGGTGGAGAGATGCTTACTGCTCATTTAGTTGTAATGTGTTCTTTTAATACAGAACTGGAGGGACCATGAAAACCTTCATGATATGAATGAGTTATGTGTCCTGATTTACTTTGATTGGCATAGCAATTTGCTTCCCATTTCTCAAAATGTGCTAATCAGATTTAGCTCCAAATAGATTGAAGTACCTCACATGTGTTGCGCGGCTGCCACAATTTCAGGGGAAGAAAGTTAATCAATTTTGAATAACTAAGTCAACCGCTTGGTTAGAATGACCTTCGTATTTTTTAGAGCACTAGATACTTAAATATTTAGCAGGTTCTTCCAAGGAGCTGCTCTGTGCTATTTGGAATCACCTTATGTTGTAGCTTCTTAAAAAAAATAAACACAACACCAAAGCAACAAACTAAAACAAAAAAAAAAACAACCCAAAGTTGTAGGAGGATGTCTTGTTACTTTCTGTTCCTGCTGATCCTGGCACCCAGAAGTGAAAGGTTTAATGTAACAATTGATGGACAAGTGGATGTCCTGGAGAAACAGAGCAATCCTTTCTTACCCATTTTGATCTGAACGTACTGGCAAGGCTCACGGTAGTGTAATGCCATTAAATATACACCGTTAAATTAAACTACCTTAAAAGAATCCCAGATTCTTCAGCAGCAACATAAATATGTTTTAATGTTTGTCATAGCGAAAGCCCTTTGATAGCCTTGGAGGCAGGCACCTGTCCGTTGCGATCAAGCTTCCCTATTAGGCTCTATTGACTGAGACATCTGTGTCACTGCAAATAAAAGACTCTTATTGATTTTCTTAACTGCTGTTCACTTCCCCTCCATGTTTCGAAGGCTGAAATCTTAATTATCTCAGATGCGTATTCAGTGCCTTCACACAATGACCTCTCCAAGCCTCATTGGCATTTCATGAATCAAGTAGTTGTAGTTGAGCGTGTCAAGAAGATAAAGGCTGGTCTTGGTGCTTGTCCTTCAGTCTCACCTGTAACACTGGGGGCTAATAGATGAGAGAGCCCCCCTCAAACGTGAGCCCACCAGCCCAGCGTTGCAGCCTTGCCTATTTGGCACCGAATCCTTTGAATGCAACTTGGAAAGGTATTTTTAAGCTCGTCAGCATTCCTTACGTGCAGGCTTAGTTTAATAGTTGCAAATTCCTACCAGGTGGATTTGTTAACGGTTCAAATTTATAGCTAAACAATGTATTTCTCTGCATAAGTTAAAACTCTGTAAGTACCAGCAGTGTGCTTCTGAACTTTTAAAATGAAGCTGGTGATTACTCCAATATTACTGATTTTTTTTTTTTAAATTAGAATTACTGAACGTGAGTAGCCGTCTTTTTTGTGATCGAGTCCCTAAGCTGTGTTTGGCACTTTATTTGTTCTAAGTAATAGAAATGAGTAGTTTGTGTCCCCTGCAGTAGATTGTTACAGGTTTCTTTCCTGTGTGGTAGAATTTTAGAAAGAGATAAAGAAACCAAAATTCTTATTATGGTATTAAAAAATGTTATTTACACCCATTTGAAAAAAAAAAAGAAAATTCAAAATAAGTTTTAATGCTACCTTTTATTCACCCTAGTCTGAAAGGAATTGCACTGCTTTCCGTCGAGAGAAAATGTTTTTGCTATGCTGCATTCTGTTCTGCAAAATTTGGTCACAGATCCATAACTGGAAATAGGTTTCTAGTTGTAACTTTAACTTTTCCCCCTTTTGGGGGATTAAGTCACACTTATCATTACTTAAATATGGCTTGGGTTATTATTTTTTATTATTTTTTGGCAGTTGATGCTTTCAGGCATTCATAATGATATTCCTCTAGTAGTTTCCATTTAGGTTTAATAAGGAATTCATATTAATCATTAAAAGAAGGGGACATGATTCTTCAACATAATCAAATATTGACAGGTTAGAAATAGCTTTCTGCCTGGGTTCATTGATATAGGTGATGTGATATAAATATTTATTTCTTTTCTGTCACTCAGAGTAAATGCCACCAATTGATTCTGCATTGATATAGTGTCAACAGTTCATAAGAAACATTTGACTGGCTTGTGTTTTCCGATTAGTCTCTGCTCTATAAAGTGGGATTTACTAAATCTCTTCAATTGTCTGCTCATAGAGTGTGACTGCTTTCTGAAACCATTATTGCTTCGATTCGTAAGGCAAAGGTATGGCTACAGGACTTCGCCTCTTGTCAGGCCTCTACATATAAAATAAGGATTAATTGAGCATTTTGTTTTTAATGATTTACAAGAGATAGACACTGATTTCTTTCAAAACCAGCAGGTATGAGCAAGGGACGTTTTGTTTGCTGATCCGTAATTGAAGTCTGTTTCACTTATTCATTAATTCTGTTAATATTGGCATCCAATCAAACTTGGTTTTGCGGGTTTAATATTCCAGCCCTTGCTGTCGAGTTCATTGTTATTATGTTATCATTTTATGATTGAGAATCCAGTTTTCCCAGTAAAATAAATAAATCACTGGCTGTTTTTGGCATCTTTATTTGAGCCAGTAAATCACACTTTATCTCTCCATCCCTTGCTGGCAGATCCTTGCTCCACCCCAGTCTTCCCATTTCACCCTGGGTTTCTGGTCGCTCTTTGTGCAGAGCTGAGAAACCAGCCGGGTGCTGGGCTGGTGGTAGGTGCAGCATCTTGGAGCAGAGCTGCCTCTGGCACTGGCATTTAGGCACCAGTGTAAAGAGAATACTCTCCTTTTACCAGTTAAGGAAAAGCAAAAGAAAAGAGAATACACTTTAAGTCTCTGGTTCTGCTCAATTTGTTGCTTGTAACTTGCGTAACTACAAAAAGTTCTTATTTTTTTCCCCCCAAAAGCAAAGATACAAGGATGCTCATAGCTTTGTGGTTTCATTTGATTTCTCTTAAGAGTTTTGTTTAGAAGAACACTGCTGGGAATGCGGGAAAGAGATGTTTGTTGTCACCTCAAAGACTGGAGAATTCAAGTTCTCCAGATTAGAAGAGCAGAACTGCTTAAACACAGAGTTCAAAGTGAGCACTGCTCTAAATTAATGAGTACTGCAGCCTGAGAGAGATTATTTTTAGTGTGAGGGATCCAGGATAGATTCTTTACATATTTTTAAGCCCATTCATGCATTATTGTTCCTCGTGGGTTATCTTTTTTTTGCCTCTTTATTTGCCTTTTCTGATTGGTGCAATAAGCAAGATAGCTTTCAGTAATAAAATAAGTAAATTTTCATTTTCATCATAAACCTTGATACTTGAAGGGGACATTTTATACCCTCTTAAGATATCTGGCCCAGGTTTTACTACAAATAGGTAATAATGTAGAGTCAAGTCCTGCTTTAAGGTATTTCTTTGTTCTTTTTCCCCTCAGAACTTTTCTTCCCTTAGAAATTTTCTCTGAACTCAGAGATTTTTAACTTCATTGGAAGAAATGCATAGTATTTCCTGTGAGAAACAAGAATGCTTTTTATTCAAGTAGTGAAAGGAAAGAATGCAAATTTTGGAGTTCATCATTTTTGTCCTTAAAACTTACTATTTTAAACCAATTAAATATTCCATTTTCTGTTCGTAGGACATGCTGAGTATTGACTATTTTAGGGTATTTCAGCTTGTTACCGTCACTTGCCTGTTCCAGTTGAAGCCAGGGGCAAAGTTCCTCGTATCTTCACTGTCAAAGTATGAAAGAGGATGTTTAAACAGGGCTCAGTAACTGAAGGGCACGTGTCCCCACTGGACTTTAAAAGCCATCTCAGAAGTTGGATAAATGCAGACAGTTACGGTGAGCTCTGCGTGGCTCTCACCGTGGTGCTCATGGTACTTGAAGTCACTAATTTGAAGCCATCTCAGATGTGCTTCCTTGATCTCAAATCACATCAGGGATAAAGGGCCAGGCATGGGGGTTTTGGATGCCTTTTAACACACAAAGATGAGAGTCTTTAAGCAGCTGCACCAACTCATGTGAAATGTTTAACTTGGTATCCCATTAAATACAGCTACTAGAAACAACTTAGTGTTTGCTTGGAAATTATCTTTGAAAAATGGGATTTGCCCAGTCATTTACTACTTATGGTGACCAGGCAACGGGGAGATCTTTTTTGGAATAGAAAGTATATACAGCCCAGAATTTGTTCTGGTTCAAATATTTATTTTCAAGTATACCTGTGCATTTCAAAAATGTCTTTAGTGATTTTTTTTTTAATAAGGGATTTAGGGGGAAAATCAGTATGACTGTATTTGTACAGGAGAAGCTTGAGTTGTAGTTTTACATTTCAATTGCTCATTCAGCAATATAATAAGCTTTTATAAAATCTATATCAGCAAGATTCCAAATCCCAGCATTTGCAATGTACAGTGCTTGAATATCTGAGGGTATCATCGTATCTGAAGGGTTGGCCCAGTGAGTGGAAAGATTGAGGCAAGCAATTAGTCATGTATTTCAAGGAAATAGCAATTCAAGACTGTTTTTTCCCAAAGATTTGCTTTAGTTAAAAAGTATATAAATTGAGCACTTATGAAGCATTTCTACTGACAGAACTGTCACTCAATTAGTATCAATTATGCTGATTCCAGAATAAATCATAAACTTTTCTAGCCATACTTAAGGTGACAGTTTTCTGTTGGATTGTTTCCATTCACCTCCAACTTTGGCTTTGGTTATGTGCTGTTCTGGAGACCCTTTTCCTATCAGTATCTGTGACCTGACCCTCTTGAGCTATATTATATCATTCCATTTTGACACCTTTTATCAAACTTTAATGAAATGACCCAGGCAAACAAATTGTCATTAAACTTTCCATCACTTTGTCCCTTGGTATCGTCTTTTATAAATTGGACAGCAAATGTTGTATTGATCTTCTCGTTCTTGCAGCTGAACTTGAAATGACCCAGACTGCTTGTTGTTTATGGCCTAGAGTTGCTTTTCCTTGACATTTCCATCCACAGCATGACATCTCTTTTGTTTTTCTTTCTTTCTTGTGGAGATGAATGAACAAGACATACGGTATCGAGACATCCTCGGTCATGGCAATGGAGGCACAGTCTACAAGTGAGTGTTGAATTTCACTTAAAAATTTTTTGAAAATAAAATTTAACAGCTCTCTTTTTTTTGGGTTGTGGTTGTTTTTTTTTTTTTCTACCCTTCATATTTGTATTGAGACGTAGGTGGGCCAGCGCTGCTATGCAGAAAAAGAGTATAAAATAAATTCTTAATATAAACTTTTTAAGAATTCTGTTTACATATTTACAAGGTATCTGCTCTTGGGTGCCGTGAGGGGTTGGTGCATTTTTATTATCTTTTTAATACTTAGCTTTGAATCCCTCCTGGGTAACAAGTTAATGGTTCACAAGTGGAACTTGAAATATCCTGAAGCCTAATGAATTGCCGTCGGTATTTGCGATGCCATTATTCTCGCTGGTTCCCCACGCCCAGTGCTGAGGGTGACACCGGGGGGACGCGATGACACCGTCGCTCTGCCTTTCTCCAGCAACACAAAATTAGTAAATACCCCTTTCTCTGTCGCAGTGACTTCCCTCTCTTACGAGCAGCTTCACGCACAAGCTGATGAATACATTAAATGATAAACTCCCCCAAATTTTGGTAGTGAAGCTTATACCCTCCAGCCAGTATTAATTTTAATATTGTAAAGATTATAATAGCGGAGATATAGTTTTCTCGACAGGAAAGTCTTTCTCATGCATAGTGCAAAGTTTAAACTACATAATGTAATATCTGGTACTTAATAGTCTGCAGTGGTGTATGAAAAATATTCCACTAGGAATTAAGAAATCCATACTTTGTAAGAAAGCCCTGAGGGAGTAATAAAGGTTTCCTCCAGAGAGCTATTTACCATATACAGTAACCCAGCATCCCATTATGATTTTGTTTATACCTTAGACATTTTAACTTTGATATTAACTTTTTTTTTAAAATGTTTTAAAAGCTACGGTGCATTTAGTTTAGTTTCTAATTGGCTGCCAACATTGCAAAACGACTCTCCCTTGCAGAAGGTTTAATGAAAATGGACTTCCAAAACCTTTAAGGAACAAATCCAGTCTTTGAATGGACTCTTGAGGAATCAGCTTAGCCTTGTACATGGAATGGAGTTCAAAAACCTCATTGAGGTTCTCTTGTAAAAAAGATATTCCTAGAGCAAGAAATTTGCAGAGAAACAGTATTGTTTTCTTAATTCATAATAAGAAAGATTTGACTGTTGAACTTTACAGCTCAGTCAGTGACTTCTTGGTGTTTTCTGATTTTGAGAAGGTTGGCTTCCCTCTCTCCTGGTGCATTTAGTTTAGTTTCTAATTGGCTGCCAACATTGCAAAACGACTCTCCCTTGCAGAAGGTTTAATGAAAATGGACTTCCAAAACCTTTAAGGAACAAATCCAGTCTTTGAATGGACTCTTGAGGAATCAGCTTAGCCTTGTACATGGAATGGAGTTCAAAAACCTCATTGAGGTTCTCTTGTAAAAAAGATATTCCTAGAGCAAGAAATTTGCAGAGAAACAGTATTGTTTTCTTAATTCATAATAAGAAAGATTTGACTGTTGAACTTTACAGCTCAGTCAGTGACTTCTTGGTGTTTTCTGATTTTGAGAAGGTTTGAAATCATGAGCAGTGCACTGATGGAGGCTCCAGGAGTGGATGTAGGTGGGAGAAGCATTGCAAAGGAAGGCCACGTGCTCTGGTCCCTGTGGAAGACACAGTTAGGGACAGGGAATATCCCATGTGTGTGTGTTGTTACCCAGTTCTGGGTCATTTTCTTTAGAGAAGGAGCTGAAACCAGTAGCTAGCAATGCAAAATCGTGAGCAGCGTAAAAATGTCCATACCAGGTCATGCCAAAAGTCTCTCACCTTCATCCTGTGTCTAATAGTGGCTTAGTCTAGGGAATGTGAACCAAGGCAAAAGTGAGGGACTCCACATGTGTGTGTTGTTACCCAGTTCTGGGTCATTTTCTTTAGAGAAGGAGCTGAAACCAGTAGCTAGCAATGTGAAATCATGAGCAGCGTAAGAGTGTCCATACCAGGTCATGCCAAAAGTTTCTCACCTTCATCCTGTGTCTAACAGTGGCTTAGTCTAGGGAATGTGAACCAAGGTTTTCTTTAGAGAAGGAGCTGAAACCAGTAGCTAGCAATGTGAAATCATGAGCAGCGTAAGAGTGTCCATACCAGGTCATGCCAAAAGTTTCTCACCTTCATCCTGTGTCTAACAGTGGCTTAGTCTAGGGAATGTGAACCAAGGCGTTGTGTGCTTTGCTAACATTTTTGCACCAAGGGTCTGCTGAACTTCCTGTCTGTTTGTCAGTTTGTGTCTGCCTTGCTCCCCAGGAACAGCTCTATTCCATGTGTGCTCAGCCCATACAGTGGTAGAGTGCTTTTAGGTGCAGAAGGTGGTATAAAAATATCTCATTCTTTTATAACGCTGCCACGTGCTTTAGTATATATTTCACATTTCGTAACATTCACATGGGAAATTTGGTTAAAATGCTATGTAAAGCCAAACTTGCACTTTTGGACTTCTTTTTTGTATTTCTGAAAGGCAGTATAGTTACACAACTGCTTTTTGTTTGATATTTTTACCAAAATCTTTTTCTGTTGTGGTGAATGCTACCTTAGTACGAGTCTGCAGGAGTGATGAGGGACGGGAGATGTGAACACTCGAGGCACAGAGGATAATGGCACGGGAGGGAGCGCATAATACTTCTGGCACTTCTGCATCGACTTGCTGCTTTGTGGGGGCTGATGCTGTGATTTGCTTCCTTAAGTGGTCGAGTGTTGCATTTGCCTGCAATTTGGGAAAGGAAAAAAATCTTACCTGTGAAAACAGGAACCCTCTTTTGTCTCAAGGAAATATTTCTACCTTTCTTTCTCCTTTTTATTGCGTTCATATTTTAAATTAGCGGTTGTTGTGGCTCCACAGTGTTTCCTCCAGTCCAGGTGTCACTTTGCACTACCCCAGGGAATGTGCACTATTTTTATATGTGGATGTTTTACACATTCCTGAAGTTTGACTTTCTTTGCAATGTAAATAATAGTAGGATATAACTATGAAATGTGGTTTTCTCCCAAAACTGGCTGCTTGGATGTTCCCGAGTTTGGTTTTTTGGTGCGTTGGATGGAAGAGTTGTACCAATTCACTCTTTCATCCCTGAAGAGTTGCCAGTTGCCATTGTCACAGGGAGTTGGCCGTTACCGTGCCGTGGTGACAGGCTTTGGACAAAGCACAGACAGACCTTCCTGCCTTGAAACAATCCCCCTTTCCTAAAAGGGAGCCTCTTCTCCCTCCCCAAAGGAGCATCTGTGCTACACGAGCCAATACGAAATTGCAAAATGGAATACTTACAGGTAGCTGGATTGCACTAGTCAGAGATAACAGCCCACATATATTTTATTCCAGTAAATCAATGAGCATTTGTCAAATAAAATTAATTGCGAACGTTGGGCTATTTCCCTCTTCCAGCATTCCGGGCTGCGGGTTTGTTCAGAAGGAGCTGTGTGTAGTATTGATCTGAACGTAAAGAACGAGCGTGTCTATGTGGCATCTTCTTTCCTTTCTTTTCTAGCTCTTTATACTAAGTCATATCCATTATGGCAATGATATATTATCGGCATTCAGCAAACAAGAGAGCGTGTCGCAGGTCGCTGAGCAAAAATTTTCAGCCTCTCCTTCCACGTGAATTAACTACTATTGAAATAGTTTATTGAGATTGAGGTATTGATCACTTTTCATGCTAACCTTGGCTTAAGGGGGGAGAGGGGAGGTGGTTTTGTTCTCTTTGGAAGACGCTATGTTTAGTTAGAAAATGTATTTCATTTATTTGGGTTCTTTACAGCTGCAGCTGTTTTATTGCTTGGAGAAGAGGTATCTTAGCTTTATTTTTATGACAGTATAATTATACTTTAGAAATACACTTGATTACTGTGTGTAGCAAAATTGTTCCAGTATATTGGTTTGGCCAATATTGCTATACAAACAACTTTTCAGTCAATTGAGTCTGGTAAAAAAATCAATACTTTATAGCAATATTTCTAGTGAGAACTTGCTGAATCTAAATGTTTTTCCTGTTCTGAAAAGAAGAAGGGATTTTATAGGTGTTTGACATCATACTTTTCCCCTACCTTTTGATACTCTATTTTCTTAATTAAGGAATGATAACAGCTATAGAGTTAGATAGGGCAAAACCAGTTAATTATTCTTTCTTTCTGGTTGCTTGTATTTTCAAAAATATGTGAGAACATATAAATAATCTCAAACCGTTTATTCAAAAAGTATCTTTGATTATACAATCAATCAGAAAGCAAGAATTCTCCCACTGGTGCGTGGTGGGCAGCATGTACCCTGCCCTGAATGAAGATTATCAAGTGATGAACCCTGTGGTAACAAACACTGAAAGTCCCCTGGTGGCTTTCTCTTCTCTTTCCCAGTTATAGGTAGTTTTGTCATTAACTGGGATTTCCACTTTGTGTGGAGTATTGTGAGTCCAATTCTGTGAATTTTTGGAAACTCTCAGCTGCCATTACTTTGTGGAGATTTGCACCTTCCCTGCCAGCCCTCAGACTGTTGTACTGGGAGATGTGACCTTCCAGCTCTGCAACAGACTTTCTCATTTTTTATGAACTATTTTATAGAAGCTGGTAAGATGGAGAATGCAGTTTGGGCTGCTTCACAGCACAAGAAAACATCTGTATTTGGTACCTCTGTGGTATTTACTTAAATTTGGGCTTTTTTGGAAAAAAATCATTCACTGGTAGGTCTAAAAGACCTCTAGAGTATGTGCTTCTGTGCTGCATCTTTTAGCTCCATCGCTGGCTGCTGAGCGTGGAGAGAGACTGTTTTGATAAGTCTCCATTTCAATGAAAGAAGGTTAACATTTTGATTGGTAATGGGATGTATACACTCGGCTGGCCAGTCTCAGGAGGAGCTACATCAAATTATTTATACCTAAAATCCTTAGTTGTGTATACTTTGAACCTAAATATTATTAAGTAAAGGTATTTATCGCTGGCAAATAATTACTCTGTGAAGTCTTGCTCACGTGACATA